GGGCTGATGAGAAAACGCATTTAGCTCTCCCTCTGTGCCAGACGTTGCCTCGCTATTTTACACACATTACCTCATCTAAGCCTCACAACAACAGTAGGAGGAGGGAGCGTTATTACCCCACTTGACAGACAAAGGAACAGAGGATGCGGGCTGCCCCGGCCCACACGGCAAAGCTGGAGACGAGCCGCCTGACCCCTCTGATGCTGCTGAAGGGGAGCCCTGAGGGGGTCTCCCAAGCTGGGGTGTGGAGTGGGAGCAGGAATCAACTGAGGGTCAGGGTAGGGGGCACACGGGTCTGACGTGGGGCCTGTGGAGCCTGGGGGCCTGGACCCCAACCACACACGCCCAGCAGCCCTGGCTCCTAGCCCCCGCCCCTCTCTCGGGCTGACCAGCCCTCCTCCTCCTTGCTGCCCTCCAGATAACACTTCTCAAAAAGCCGAGAGGGCCCTGCTACCAACAGGGAGACGTGGCCAAGGCTCCAGAGCCTGGCAGAGCCCTCCTGGCCCCTGCCCTGGCCTCTAGTCCCTGAGCCCTTCACGAGGGGTGATGGACGAGCCCCGGGGTTGGTGACCAAGGTCTCACTCCTAGAACATTCCGCCTCTAGCCGAGACCTGGACAGTCTTTCCTCTGAGGCTGCTCTTCCTGACTCTGGCTGGCAGGGCCCCAGGTAGATGAGCAGGTGCCCCTGCTCCCCACAGGGCCGGCTGCCTTCCCACGGCCCTCCAGACCCAGGGAGGGCACAGCCGGCCCCTCAGAAACCCAGAGGCACGTCCTCCTCAGACACTCAGAAGGCCAACTAGCACCTGGCCTGTTTCTACCGCTAGCCAACGCATCCTCTCCAGCTTCATGGTGGGAATTCTTTCAGAAGAGAGGAGAGAGGGTTGAATAAAGATGCACTGATACATTTCTTGAGCACCCACTGTGTTCCAGGGCCTGTACTGGGCTCTGGGGTGCAGAGTGTGCTGCGGTCCTTGTCCTCTCCGGGACACCACCCCGAGTCCTCCCTCTGAGTGGAGCCTTGATCCAGAAAGACCCTTTGGCAGCTGTGCAGAGAGGATGCAGCAGAAAGGCTGAGGCTGGATGCAGGGAGAGCAGGCCAGAGACTAGGCAGCCCGCCCCAAGCCCCAACCTCGACAGCTGGGAAGATGCAGGAAGCATGGGCCCGTCGTGGGGCCCTGGAAAGCCCCGGCACTTGGCATGGCTGTGTCTCGGTGCCTCACCTGTAGGAGGAGGGGACTGTACATCTGCCTGGGGCGGCGGGTGTTGGGACTGTTACAGCAGTGCCTGGAGGGTGTCGGCCGACTCCGTGGGAGCGCAGACTGGGCAATGCCCCCAGGAGCTCCTTGCCAGCACCAGGATGTGACTGTAAGCCCACAGACCCTGAGGTTAAACAGGACGGAAATGATCACACGGCCGGTGTTGCTAGAACTGCGTTAGCCACGTGCAGACTGGCCCCTCCTCGGGAGGGGACAGGAGGTAAAACGGGGTGTGGACAGAGGGCTCCAGGGTGAAGGTGCCTGTTCTTCAGCAACTTAGTGCCTTGAGAAGGTGGCTTTAAAGCCAAGTTTACTAAACCTACAAAGAATCCCAAGCCACGACAGGAGCAAAGACCCCTGAGGGCCTTGCCAAGTTGGCACGCCGAGCTGAATCTAATGCGGCAAATCTGAATGGGGACAAACGGCGCAAAAGCCCGTGACCCAAGACCAGACGGGGGGTCTGACTCAGCATAAGCAAGTGGGAAAACACCGAAGGTTTGACTGCAGTGGATTCCTGACGAGCCCGTGGGGAATGCAAAGCCAGAGCAGAGGCGTGGAGGTCCCCGTCACTCCTGCAACCCTGACCTCCCTGTAGCAGGACCTGAGAACCATTCCACAGTGACACTGGCCAGAAACTCAGACGGAAGAGCAGGACAGAAGACATTGAGGGGTGGCCCCATGCGTGCACGCCCCAAACTCCTGCCCCCAAACGCATGATCCAAATTAACGCGGGTCAATTTTTGGATGAATCCCTTGCTCGCCAGATTTTTGCTACTCTCAATCCCAAGCTCAAACCTAATAGATTTGGATACCAAAGGACACTGTCTATGTGATATAACAGCAAAAAAACAAACAAAACAAAGATGAGAAAATTAAAGAGAGCAAATGAAGCCTGAAGAGGGTGAGTACAAGGAAAGCGGCAGGAGGCTGCAGCTCAGCACCTGGGGGAGCCGGGTCTTCTGAGGAGAGGCTGGTGGCAGCAGAGGTACAGTGAGCTGCAACCAGGCAGTGGGGATAGCATCTGGCCCGTCCCCGGGCTTCCAGAGCTGGAAGGGGCTGGGGAGCCCGCAGCTGCACCCCTCCTCCTGGGAGCTGTCGTGCCCCCATCTCCTCGTGACCTTCCCGCTCACTTCTCACACTCAGGAACCCGGCATTGGCCCAATGGCTCTGCCAAACAGCCCTCCCTAAGTCCCTAAGGCCGATGCACACTCTGTCCTCCTGTCATCTGGCCTCTCGGCGCCATTCTATTTCCTCAGCCCGTGGCTGTGCCAGCCCAGCCCCCCGGGCTCCTCCTCGTGTCCCTGTGGCATTTCCGTCCTGTGTTCTCTGCAGGCTTGTCTTGCTCTTCAAGGCCCAGGAGGCCTAAAGCCTATTGTCTTTCGTGACTTACTGATTGCTGGGTGACCTCACCCACTGCTGTGGCTGCATGTGCCGTCTAGAAGCTGATGACCCCAAGTGGTATCTTGCCAGTCCACGCAGCGGGCTCTGCCCTGGGACCCGAGCGGTAACCACTGCTTCCCTGAATTCACTCCTCAGAGGCTTCACGGCACCCGCTCTCAGCAGCGCATCCAAACCTGACTCAGGGTCTTTGCTCTAAACTCGGTCTTGCTCCCTGCTGGGCGGGGCCCCCAGCAGCTGTGAGGCTGTCCCTGCTCACGCCCGTGCCCAAGACCAGGCCGCCGGGTACCCGCTGAACTTCCCTCCCCCGCACCACTGCGTCCAAGGCACCCGCGCCGCTTGCTTGCGTGACCGTGGCGGCCTCCTTACTGCGCTCCATTCAGCGGCTCTTTCTCTCCAATCCATTCCCACGTGCCCTTCTCAAAGCCTTCAAGGGCTTCCCAAGGCCTTTAGGATGAAGATGAATGTAAGCCCTGCGGCCGCCAGTCCCCATCACAGCCTGGGCCCTCTGTCCTCCGCGCGCCGCCCCCGGGGCCCCATCACAGCCTGGGCCCTCCGTCCTCCGCGCCCCGCCCCCGCCCCCCGGGGCCCCATCACAGCCTGGGCCCTCTGTCCTCCGCGCCCGGCCCCCTCGTTCCTTCGGCGGCACACTGCCCTGGGGCCTCTGCACGGGCTGTACTTCCGGTTGGAAGCTCTTCTCCCACCAGAGACTCCTCCTTCGTGTCACCTCAATCATCACTTCCTCAGGGGAGGCTGCCCCGAGCCGACTGGGTCTACCCTACCCGCCGCACCCTCTCCCGGCACCACGTTCAGCATTCATCACGCTGGTAATTCGACATTTACGTGTGATTGTTCGATTCTCCGCTGCTCCCCACTGTACTTCATACGGCCGATACGGCAGGGACAATGCCTGATTATGACTAGGATCGAACCCCCAGTTCCTAGCACAGAACCCCCAGTTCCTAGCACAACGCCTGCCATACAGTTGGTGCTCAGTATATATATTTTTGGAGGAGCGCAGCACTGGTACATGGGAAATACAGATGGTGTATCAGTCAGCGTTCTTGTATATTGAAAGGTTTATTTTAAGGAACTGGCTCACACAATCGTGGGAAATAGCACGTCCGAAGTCTGTGGAGCAGACCAGGAGACCAGAAACTCAGGCAGAATTTCTAGGACAGCGTTGAGGCACAATTCCTTCTTCCCCAGAAAACGTCAGTTTTCTATTCTTAAGGCTTTCAAATGATTGTATAAAGACCACCCACGTGACTGAGAATAATCTGCTTTACTTAAAGTCAACCTTCAGAGCAATGACTAGGCTAGTGTTTGACCAAATACCTGGGCAGCACCATAGCCCAGCCAAGCTGACACAGAAAATGTAACCATCACAGATGGCAAGGAGGGCAGCAACCCAAGGAGAGGCCAACAGCGCAGTAAGACGACTGAGAGAGCCGTGACAGGCTTATTTTCACATGCTGGAGGAAAACCCAGCAGAGACATTCTGTGAAGAGCTGAGGGTGTGCAGAGGGGATCTCTTCCACTGAAGAAATCTCAGCCCTGGTCCCCAGGGCCAGAGTGATTCAGCCATGATTACAGTCTGGGGCGTCAGAGGAAGGTGAGGGCAGGCCCCCCATTGTGAGGTCCAGGTAGAACACTCCACTCAGACTGGCCCCAGCCCTGGCTGATCTTCGACTCCATCCTCACCCCCACCCTCCTGCCAGGAGTGTGCCCTCTGTCTTATACCAGGACGTCACCACCCTCTCCTGTTCAAGAGCAGATGCCCGCAGAGCCAGCGGAGGTCACAAGGACGTGGCCTCACACAACTCCCAAGGTCAGGCCTGCAAATTTCTCTGTGTAGACGGCTCTAAAAAGGGGGAGTGCGATAAGGACTCAGAGATGTGAGTTCTTGGAACCTGATGGGGAATGCAGTCTTGGGTTCTCGAAGGACTATAGTCAGGAAAATTCAAGAAGCCAGAGAATAGTGGGCACAGAGGGGGCACCGCTGGGGAATTTGGAATAGGGGAACCTGAGTCATCAGAAATGGAAACTCCAAGCTATAGGGAGCCGACTGCTTAGACGAGGGAGCCCCTGGGCCAGCAGCCAGGGAAAGGCTCTCAGCACCTGGCGTCAGAAGAAAGCATAGCCCAGTGTCCCGCTGTCCAACATGTTAGTCCCCAGGAGAAGGCTGACAGCTAAATCCAGGTGCGCCCAAGATCCCAAGGGAAGGGCACCCTCTCCAGGAAGGCAGGTGATGAGTCTTCATTCAGCAGATGTTCACTGGTTACCTACCTGCACGGCACTCGGCCCTTTGCTGGATGCTGGCGAGTCGCAGTCCTTGCCCTGGATGTGAAGTGAGTGAAACAGCGCTAAAGAGCTAACCGCACAGAGCCAGGTAGGTGCTGTGATGGAGGACACGCCTGCGGGGAAGCCTAGAGGGCGGCTGCTGGGAAGCTCCACAGAGGAAAGCCGGCTGGACAGAGAAGGGGTGGGAATGCTCCAGGCTGAAGCAGGGCCTGCGCTCAGGCCTGGAGGCACGGAGAGCTGAGCCTGGTAGAGCAGAGAGGCCTGGAGGAGGTGCAGCCTCTGACCTCACAATACCCAGGCCCATGGGCCAGCCTTGCAACTTGCAAACTCTAGTGCCCTCTTCCAGCCCGGGTGAGGCCCCGGGCCCTGGGCAGCCTCCAGGTGCAGCGCCCTGCTGACAGCCGCACCCTTCCCGCTGCCCTGGGGCATGTCTCTACTCACCAATTACGAGGGGCTTCGCCATCAGATCGAGAGGCTGGTGCGGGAAAATGAGGAACTGAAGAAGCTGGTGCGGCTCCTTCGGGAGAATCACGAGCTCAAGTCGGCGATCAAGATGCAGGCGGGTGGCCTGGGCATCAGCGGGTTCAGCAGCAGGCTGGGCGAGGCAGCGACCGACCCTCCTCAACACCAGGGTAACTGCAAGGGGCCTGGGTTCAAGAAAAGCGGGGAGGGAAGGGTGAGACTGCACCCGAGAGGAGAGACTCTGTGCTGGGGTCTCGGGAAATCGTGGAGAGAAGGGCGGAGATAGCAACAAACACCGGGTGAGGGGAGGGCGAGGACATAGGGCAACCACGATAAAAGAACAAAACTAGGCACCAGCCCCATTCACCTGATGGCAGGAGTTCCTGCCCACCCACACACTCCTCCCCTCAGGTGAACTTCCAAGCAGCTCCACAGACTGAGAATTTCCCAGCCCTGGAATCCAAAGGTGCTGCCCCACTGGACCCAATACGGCACCCACCCTCAGCTTCCCCCCCTCCCCTCCATCCCCCCGCTCCCAGCACCCTCAGCCCCCTGCCCCATCCCTCTCCACTCAGAATTGACCACCGGAGTCTAGAGACCAAGGAGAGAAGCCAGGACTGAAGCTTGAGGTTTGAAATCGTTAGTGTGTGACAGCCCTGGGGCTGGAGAGGAGGTATGGGGCAGGGTGAGACAGAAGAATGGGCAGAGAAGTTAGGGGCGTTCACACAGAAGCTGCCCAGGGGCCAGCTCTCCCCAAGCCACCGCATTCTGGCACAGAACTCCAGGGAGTACAGGAGTCCTAAAATCAAACCTGACCTTCCAGGTTGTTACAAAGGTTTATTTGTCAGGTAAGCAGATAGAACATAATTTAACAGTCGTTAGCTTGACTGATAACTTTTAACTGACATATCATATGTAAGCCTCCATTTGTGCTCTCGGCCAGGGGGAACCTGGGAGAAGGAAATTCAGTCTTGGAGGAAGAGAATAAGTTGCACTTTGGACAAACTGACTCTAAGACGTTCTCACGACATCCACCTGGAGCACCCAGGAGGCAGCGGAGGTGTGAGCCTGAGGCTCAAAGGAGAGGTCAGGGCTAGAGAGAAAAGATGGAAGAGTCACTGATAACTGAAGCCGCAGGAGGGGTGAGACGATCTGGAAAGAGAGAGGAACAGTGAGGAGAGACTGGGGACAAGTCCTGAGTCAAGACAGGTAGAGAAGCTGGCAAAGGGGCACTCAGAGAGACAAGGGACACCTCAAAAGTGTAATGTCACAGAAGCCGAGACAGCTTCGAAGGGGACAGAGTGTCAGCGGAATAAAGGCTACCTGAGAGGTGGAGCAAGAAAGGTGCTAATGACCTGCGTTAGGAACCTCGGCTAGAGCAGCTTCAACCGCACTGTGAGCAGGAAAGGCCCAGGAGTGAGGTGGAGAGTGCGGGAGAAAACGGAGAGAATAGACGGTTGACACTTCGTTCATGAAGTAGGGCTTGGAGGGGGCGCCAGCTGGAGAGGGGCATGGCGTCTAGAGCTGCTTTTCCTGATGGCAGAGACCTGAGTTTATTTCTATGGAAAGGGGAGATACGAAAGAGAAAAGGAATGCTTTACAGAGCAGAGGCTGCCTTGACTGAAGGAAGAGCATCCCGTCCACTGCCGGGGAAAGGAAGGAGGAAGGGTGGGTGAGAACACCAGGTGGGAAGCTGCAGAACTCTGGAACCGTGGCTTCAATTTTCTCTGGAACAAATGTCATTCTCTGACAGTCAGGGTGGAGAGAAAAAGATGGGGAAAGTCTGAAATAAAGTGAAAATGGCAGGAGGAAGTGAGAGGGGAACCGGGAGGTGTGTAACGGGCGCAAACGGTGCCGGCATGTGTGGGCTTCGCAGGCAGCAGCCACCAGCCGCCTCCAGCAGCACTGGGCTGGCGGGGGTGCGGACAGACATGCGGAAGGCAGGCAGGTGGCCATAAGGGCCGGTCAGCGACAGCCTGGGCCCACCACGGAAGGGCGCGGACGCCAGCTGGGCTGGCACATGACACGGAAGAGGCCAGCGTCCCAGAGACCTAGAGAGGCCGGCAGCCAGGGCAGAAGGCACGCCTCCGTGGGCAGAGCGGGTCGCCTGCGCGGCGGGAAATCAGTAACCATCGCTGTTGGCTGCATTAATTTCACGGGGAAGAAAGGCCATGCGGTTCAGGCGCTGGCCTTGCGAACATGGCAGGGGAAGGCGGAGCCAGGATGCACGGGGACTGAGGGCTCAGGGGCTCTCTCGGGCCCGACGTCTCGCAGACGGAAGGTGCGCGGGGCGTCGGGGCAGTGGGCGCAGAGCGGAAGTGAGGGCTGCGCCGAGGGCTCAAGCCCCCACCGCGGGGGCGGCCCGCGCGCCGGCTCCTCCCCCCGAGGGCTCGGGCGGGGAGGCTGTCAGCAGGGGGGCAGGAGGGCTTCTGCTGCCCTTCCTGCTGGGCGCCTCCCCCCTCCCCCCTCCTCCCAGGCCCCCACCCCGCTGCCCCTCTGTCTTCTCTTGCTTCCTTAGGCGGGCAGCAGCCTTCTTCCTCTTTCCCGAAGGGCTTTGAGCAGCCCTGCTCCTCACAGCCTCCCTCCCCTCCCCCCAATCCTACCGGGGCCTGTTACCCCGGCAGGGCCTCCCTCCTCCCCTCAGGAACCGTCCTCCCCCAAGTCCCAACCTCCCACCCCGGACCCAACCCTACCCCCGCCCCACCCCCACCCCAGGGATTGACCCTAAGCCCCCGGATCCGTCACTCGCGGGACCCCAGCCCTCCCTCAGGATTGCCTTCCTCTTAGGAGCCTTGTCCCCCCTCAGAACCCAGCCCCCTGGGGACCCCATCCCCCCTCAAGACCCACCTTCCTTTTGGGACCCCTGTGCACCCTCAGAACCCACGCCCTCACAGCCCTCTCCCCTCAGGACCCCATCCCGCCCTGCCCTTCTTTTAAGACCCTTGTCCCCCCTCAGAACCCGCCCCCTTCTCAGGGCCAGTCCCCTCCTCAGGACCTGTCGCCATCCCCCCTCTCTTTCTCACCTGCCGCCGCCCCAGACCTCTTGGAACCCTGGGCTCCAGCGGCCTTTGCTCACCCGTCTCGCCTCCTCGAGTCCGGCCTCGAGCAACACCTTCCCGCCCAGACCCTCAGGCCCCGCCCCTCAGGGCAGCCCCGTTACGCTAGCTCCGCCCCTTGAGCGGCGCCGCAACTCTGGCCCCGCCCCTACGCTCGGGCTCCGTCCCGTCAGGGCCCTCCCTGGCGCCCCGCCCGCTGCGACCGCCGGCTTTGACGCCCGCCACATTGACTGACCCCCGGCTTCGTCCCCGCGTGGACCGGGGGGTCTCGGTGGCCGGGCCGCTCTTGCCCGGGTGTGGGCCCGGCCTGGTCCTCGCGGGGCCGACGTCCTCGCGGAGGGAGGGTTCCGAGGCCGGAGAGGCCACGGGTGGTGGGCAGGCCCGGGAGGGACCGATGGGGAGGCTCTGCAGCCCGGAGCCCGAGGGCCGGCCAGGGAAAAGGCGCGAGGGCGCGGCCGAGTGCAGGACAGTGTGGCGCACGTCCTGACCGACGCGACGAGGGGCGGGAGACCAGAGTGGGGCCCCTCCAGAGTCCCGCCCTCGGCCTCGCCGGGAAGGATAGAGCTGCCCCTGTGAGGAGCAGGCTGGGGGAGGAAATCACAAGTTCGCTTAAACGGTTGAAACATTGTAAACTGCATTTGTAGATCTAAGACATTTGCTTTTCTTTTTAGCTTCAATAGTCCGATGTAACAAACAAACCTTCCTGGACCCAAATAATTCTTATGTATAAAATAAACATAGGGCTTCCCTGGTGGTGCAGTGGTTAAGAATCCACCTGCCAATGCAGGGGATACAGGTTCGAGCCCTGGTCCGGAAAGATTGCACATGCCGCGGAGCAACTAAGCCCGTGCGCCTAGAGCCCATGCTCCACAAGAGAAGCCACCGCACGGAAGAGTGGCCCCCACTCACTGCAACTAGCTAAAGCCCACGCGCGGCAACGAAGACTCAAAGCAGCCAAAAAATTAATTAATTAATTATTTTAAAAAGCTAAAAAAAACCCTATATAGATGCAGTGAATCTAAGTTCTCTTTAAGTTTCTAATACTGTATGTAGTAAAGTACCTAGGAACATTTCAACTCGTAAATCTAAATCAGCAAAATATAAATTATAAGGTTAAATTATAAGGTTAAATTATAAGGTTAAAACAAACTTGCACATTTTGCATTACAATACAAAGCTATAGGACTGAAATCTCTTAAACCGAGGCTCGACCTGGGGCTCCTGTTGGCTCAGAGCACTCCTGTTCATGAGAATTCCCTGGAGGTCCAGTGGTTGGGGCTCTGTGCTTTCAAATGTCCCCATCTCCCAGCCAGAGATTTCAACAGGCTGCTCCTGAGATTCTCATCGGTGACCCTAATGGGTCAAAAATCCATGGACATGGCTTCCCTGGTGGCGCAGTGGTTGAGTCCGCCTGCCGATGCAGGGGACACGGGTTCGTGCCCCGGTCCGGGAAGATCCCACATGCCGCGGAGCGGCTAGGCCCGTGGATAATCCTACACTGACCTTTTTTAATCATCAAGTTTTATCTGTGCTCATATATACATCATGTTCTTCATATTTATTGAACACTTTCTGTGGCCCAAGTACTGTTCTAGGCACTGGGAAACAGGAGCAAACAGACAAAGCCCTGCCCTCACGGAGCTTCCATTCTAATCGAGGGAAAAAGGAAAAACCAATAAGTCAATGGAGAATATCTTGGAGAGAGATAAGTGCTAAGGAGGACATAGTCCAGAGAAAGGGGAAGGAACGGGTGGGGTGAAGGAAACTGGTGATTTGGGATGGAAGAGCTCATTGAAGAGGTAACAACTGAAAGGACGGGTGGAAGTACGCGGCCAGCTGTGCACACGGGAAAAGCGTTCCAGGCAGAGGGAACAGCAACGCAAAGACAGAGGCAAGAGCGTGCCGGAGCATTTGAGGAACAGCAAGGAGGCCCGAGGGGCTGAAGAAGAAGGTGCCAGGGAGAGACCAGGAGGAGAAGAAAGTCAGAGAGAGGGACGAGCCAGGTCACGCGGGACACTGAACCGCCTAGCACTCAGAATGAGACGGTGAGCTAGCTGGTGGGCATTTTAACTGGAACAGTCTGGCTGATGTGTGAGGGGAGAGGCCAGAAACAGGTAGCAAGCCAGGGGGCTCCTGCAATAATCCAGGCAGGGTAGTGTTGGTATGGACCGGAGCTGGGAGGAGCACACGTGCTGGATTCTGGATATACGTACTTGAAGGTATTGCAGACAGATGGGATGCTCGGGGCTCCTGAAAGAGAAGTGTTGAGGCTGCACCATCTGAGGCCTGAGCCACTGAAAGAGCGAAGACGTCGGCGGCCGGCACGCCAGGGCGGCAGAGTCCCCAGCAGAACCCTGGGAAGAAGGGGGTCAGGCCACCGGGATGTGAGTCAGAGTCCAGCCCGAGAGTAAGCAGCCTGCGCTGGTCCAGAGCGTCCGAGCTGCATCAGCTCCTGCGGGGAAGGAGACTCTAGGTGGGCCTTGGGGCTGCCCCCGGGGGCAGAGGATGTGGGCCCAGAAGCACCTGGAGGAAGCCGGGTGACCGGGAACCTGGATGCCAAACCAAGACGGGATTTCAACAGGGAGGAACGTCCCGCCGCGTGGACACCACTCGCCACCTGCGAGAAGAGCCCCGTGAAGCGTGCGCTGGGTTCTGCGACGCGGGGTCACCGGCCCCTCGATCAGTGTTTGGGTGCAGGGATGGAGAAGGAGAAAATGGACTGAGATGCTGAGTTGGTACAACGCCCAGGGACATCTGCGAGGGACACAGAGGACACCAGTGGAGGTGGGGACATCAGTGAGATGGAAACCAGATCCCCTGGGTCTCAGAGACCATGAGGACCTGGCCGCGCAGGCACCGTCTTCTCTCCCAAGTCCTGAAGACGCTGCCCGAGTGGTCCTTTCCCATGTCATCCGGACCCTAGGCTCCCCCAAGAGGAGACAGGCTGGGAAGGACAAACGCCCTGACTCGGGTCTCCGTGCCCCGTCACCCGTCTCTGCCGCACCGCCTGCTCCTTCCCTCACGCCGTTCCTCTCCGTGGGATACTTCCCTTTGGGCCACAAGCTTCACTGTCTCTTCAATCCTAAAGCAAAAATCCAAAAAAGCCAAAGCAAGAAATCATAAAAGACTGGTTGATTTGATTCTGAAAATTTAAGTTATTTGTTTGGGAAAAAATAACAAAACTTAAAACAAAAATAAACGGCAGGACATCCTGGCACACATTGTGCAGGGCGGCATCAGTGTAACAAGTCCCGGACTTCTCAGGGAATGTCAGATGTTTCTGAGGGGTCTGAAAGTGGATAGACTTAGCAGTGTGCATTAAGAACCTCTCAAATGTCTGTTTTCGGGGGGAAAGATAATAAAGATTTATATAGTAGAATTTTTGTCACTGGGAAAACTGGAGACAATTGATTCTCCCAACAGCCGAAACAGGCTCAATAAACAATGGCATGTGCACAAGACGGGCACCACCGCAGCCACGATAAGCGCTGTTTTCCAGGAACGATGATGCTGAAGGTAGCCGTGGTGCAGGCCCAGTAGGAAGAGGCGGGGCACATAAGGACACGGGCCACGTACGCAGTCACCACACACGTGTGCGTGGCCTGGGAGCTAGGAATGGACTTTACCTTTTTAAAGAGCTGAGGGAAAACCCAAAGGAGTCTGCTGGTTCACGACATGCACTGAGTCCATGAAATTCTAATATCAGCACCCACAAGTAACGTTTTGTCGCCAAGCTTCCATGTGTATTTGTTTCCGTGTTGTCTGTGGCTGTTTCGGAGCCGTGACAGCAGAGCTGAGCGGCTGCAATAGAGGCCGGATGGCCAGGAGAGCTGGAGCTCTTTTCACCAGCTCTTTACAGAGGGGTTCGCCAGCCCCTGAGCAACATAAACACGTGGAGAAAGTCTTCAAGCCTTCGCGGAGCTTTGCTATATGATGGACGGTGGGATAACAGGACCACCAGTGGTTTTCATCTTTTCTGACTTTTCTGTATTTCCATTCTTTTCCTATAATAAGCATGTACTGCTTTTTTTTTTAATGTGGAAGTTTTCAATCAAACTGCACACTCACAGAAACCTTTCCTGCACCCTCCCTAGGGGCCTTCTCCCCCAAACAGCGGTCACTCAGTCATCCGAGGGCAGTCTCCTCAGGAACCCAAGGGCAAACGGGCTCCCAGGCCCCACGCAGGGGAGAAGCAACACCCCCTCCTCTGCCTGCATCCCCGGCGACAGGCAGGCGGGGGCCCTGTACGGGCCAGGCACACCCTGGGCTCCACGGGAGGCTCCCAGCAGCTTTGAGCTCTGGCCTCCCTGAGGGTCCCCCACGTGGTGAGGCTCGGCCGTCCCCAAGAGGACAGCAGTCAGGAGGCCCGGGCCCACTCCCCCACCACCTGGGAACAGAGGGGTCCACTTGGCGACCTACGTGTTCAGACCCTCCTCTCCTCCGTGAGGGGTCAGCGGCTCAAGGCAGTGGGCCTGTCTGAGGGACAGGCAGCGTGGAAGGTCCTGGTGGCTGGGGGGCCGGCGTTTACAGAGGTGATCCTGGGAGGGACCAGGCTCCCTCGGAGCACAGGGATGAGGGGCCAGACCCTCGCGTGGGATCCACTGAGCAGCCCCACAGATGCCCGCTTAGAGGTGAGGCTCAGAGAGAGTTGGTCAGCTCATCAGAGGCACATGGGCATCTTGGTGCAGGCCCTGCCCCAGTGGGGAGAGAGCCTGGGGTCTCAGTGCTTTCTCCATGTCCCCCAGGTGTCTTCCCGCCCCCGGCCCCGGCAGCAGCAAACGAACCCGTCCTGGAAGAAGGGATGGCGGCTCTGGTGCCCCTGGCCGACACGCTAGACAGCCCGCAGCCCAGCCCCGCGGCAGGCCCCGTCGTGAGCGCCCGGATGGGCCCTCTCAACACGCTGCTGCCCGGCCTGGGGCCCATCTCACAGAGCAGCCCACTCTCCAGCCTCCTGACTGGCCCCCTGAGCGACCACCTGGCCAGCCCCGTGGCAGTGCCCCTGGCGAGCACACCGGCCAGCTCCCTGGGCCTGCCCTCGACTGGCCCCCTGACTCCCAGCAGCCCCCTGACAGGCCCCCGAGCTGTGCCTCAGAGCAGCCCCCTTATGGACGCTGTAACAGGTTCGGTGGCCCTCTCTCTGAGCAGCCCCCTGCTCACCTCCGCGGCTGCCCCCCTAGGTGTCTCTCAGAACCTTCCGGCCAATCCCGTGAGCAGTCTGGTGCTGTTGGAGGCCCCAAGGGTGTGGCTGGCAGAGCCGCTGCAAGGATGCCCCTCTGGACCCCATCCCTCAGCGGGTGGGGGGCCTGCTGCCACCGCAGAAGGTAACCGGTGCAGGGGGAGGGGCAGCGGGGGCCCAGGGGGCGGGGCCCCTGCCAGGCTGGTAGGCGCTGGCCCTGCCTCGCTCTAACCCTCCTCCTCTCCTTTCTGCCCCTCCCCCACGTCGCTAGCCCCGCCCTCCGCTGAGCACCCCCAGCCTGCCCAGGAGCCTGAGCCCCTCAGCATGACGTCTGTGGGTGCGCCCATGCAGACCTCCACGCCCGTCGGTCCCATGGGCACACCCAGCCCCGCGACAGCCTTCTCCTACAGCACCCCAGACGCCCGGACACAGCCTGGTGGCCCCCAGGGACAAGCGGTCTCTGACTCTGTCCCTGCCTCGGCCACCTCCTACAACATCACCATCCTCGCCTCTGCCCTCACTCCCGCTCCCCAAGCTGCCACCAGCTATAGGCCCTCAAGCACCCCACACCCCTTTGCCCGCACGCACCGCTCCCCGACCCGGCTCTCGCCCACCCTCCACTCCCCTGCACACAACCCCCACTCCCAGCCTCGAGCCTCGTCCTCACCGGCTTCAGTTAACGACACCCGAGGTCCACGCGTGGCAGAGCCGTCTCGGAAAAGCACCCTGCAGTTGGAGCGGAAGCTAGCCCACCGGAAGACCGGCAAGTTCCCTGACAGCTCCCGACGTCAGCACGAGTCTGGGGTCTCCTCGGCTGCCCTAGGAGACCTCCCAGGCACCCCCCTGGGCTGCTGACCACGGTCACTGACCACTCCCTCCACCCCTTGTTGTCCCCAGAGTCGAAGCAGCTGGCCTCGGAGAGGCTGGTGGGGGAGATCGCCTTCCAGCTGGACCGCAGGATCCTGTCCAGCATCTTCCCCGAGCGTGTCCGGCTCTACGGCTTCACGGTCTCCAACATTCCGGAGAAGATCATTCAGGTGTGTTGTGCCTACCTGCCGCTCACCGCCTGAGGGCCTACCCCGCCACCTGCAGGGCTGGGGACGGCCTTCCGGGGGCCCCTGCACTCCGGCTAGGCAGAGCGCATCAGAATCTGCGGGCACCCTGGGATGGAGGATACACCGCACTCAGTCCAAGTGGCCAGCAGGTGTCCGCGGCATCTGGCAGCAGGAGTGTGTGGTCCCAGCCACCAGGGCGGCCTTCCCAGAGGGCAGAGCAGCAGAGGGGCCCCAGCACTGTCAGGCCTGTGAGCTCCCACTTTGCCACTGCCATGGCCTCGGGTCTGCCAGGCCCCGCTCCCACGGGCCCTCCCCAGACTGGCAGAGCTGCCGCCTTATGTCTCTCCCTCGCCCTGTCCAAGTCCTCAAGTGTCACTGGGGGGTGCAGGGGAGGCAGTTCTCAGAGCCTCTGAGCAGCTGGCGGCCTGGTGGCCAGGGTCTTCAGGCCGGGCTCGTTCCGTATTCCCAGCATGCCCTCCACTGAGCCCGCTCCCACTGAGGGACACAGAGGACGATGTTTCCCAAACACGCTTGGGCGCGTCTCCTCGCCACCACGTGTAGGAGGCACGTTGGAGTGGGAGGCGTCGGGGGCTTGGGCTGCGCCGGGGCAGGATGAGCCGGTGCGCGCCCTTCCCCACCGACACGCCCACTCGGGTGGAGCGGGGGTGGGGCAGGGGTGGGGCAGGGGGCGGGCGTCGGCGCCGCGGCCCTTCAGCCGTTTACTCTTCCCTCGCGAAGTAGCCCTCGGTGCTCCCGGCCTCTATCTGTCTGGCCGTCCTTATCCGTGGATGGACTGTGGCTCTGGGTCTGTGAGTGGGCAGGAATCACGTTCAGCGACAGTGGGCTCGTCTGTGTCCCGGTTTGAGCTTGCCTTCTCCGTTTGTTAAGGTGTCCTTTGGTTAGGTTTGTAATTTTAATGAGACCAAAATAATCCACGTTTTTTATCCACCTTTTCCTTTTTTTTTTTTTGGCCGTGCCACGTGGCATGCAGAATCTTAGTTTCCCGACCAGGGATGGAACCCGCGTCCCCTGCAGTGGAAGCGCAGAGTCTTAACCGCTGGACCGCCAGGGAAGTCCCATGTTCTCCTTCATTGTTTGTACTCTTCGAGTCCCATTTAAGGCTGGAGCTGCCGGCCCCGCCTCGGTCCCCTCTCCCAGTCCCACGAGTGTGGGCTCCAGGTTTGCAGGTCTGGCCCTGCCCAGGTGACAGTGTCCTAATCCTGGGAGGCCAAGGGAGCCAGGGCATCTCTCCTTCCAGATCGTCGTAGCTCCTCTTGGCCCTTCGCTCTTCAAGATGAATTTTAGGATCAGTCTGGCAATTTCCAAGAAAAACCTAGTTCAAATTTTTAGTTTTTCATTGGTTTATAGGTTGAACTGGGGAAGTTTCCCATCTTTGCCATGTTGGCTATCCCTGTGTTGCTTGTGTCGGCGGGGCCAGCTTTGGCCATGCTGGGTTTGACGAGCCTTGACTCCTACCCTGGACCACCGCCACCACGGCTGTGCCATGAGTGCAGCCCGGCAGCGGCTGTTTAAAACTTGGCAGATGACGCGGGAGAAGCACAATATTTATGTCTCTAAAATGCTGCATCTGATATCTAGTTGGCAAAGACTACACTTAATCATAAGTGAAAGTCTAGTTGCCCACATAGAAGTTAGACATCAAGCTATGGAGAGAGGTTTCTGGTTGTTTGAAACTGCTGTTTATGCGGAGGATAAGGTGGACCCTCCAGGAGGGTGTGTGCGTGCAGGTCCTCCGCTTCCACGCCGCTCTCCACCTTGCCTGCGAGGTGCCGCTTATGCCGGAGAACTTAAGTCACGGCACTAAACGGCAACTCTTTAGAGAAGAGGCAAGAAAAGGAAGCAGAACGCACGTAAGACAATTTGTTTGGTATTTAAGGACGTCGAGGAGCTTGGTGCCCCTGAGCCTGTGCTTCAGGCTCCACCTTGGCGGCCTCTGGGTGGTGGTTCTCACCACAACACTCACCTGGTCATTCTGCCCATCGGCCACCGTCACCAATTCCACGGCCTCCGGCCCCATGCGCCTTCCATCCAGCCATGAGCAGAGCTGCAGGATCATACACTTGCTGCCCTTGTTCCCAGGAAGCGCTCCACTGCAGCCCACCCGCACGGAAGCTGTCTTCAGGATAGCCCCTGGCTGGCCTTCTGTAGGGCCCACTGCAGGTTGACTGAGCTCCGGTCCCACCTGAGGATCATAAAGATGCTTCCTGGTCTCAAGCCGTCCTGCCTCCTTGGCTGGATTATTCGTCGATTCCCATCTGCATTTAATTGCACTTCGCCCAGGCTTCCACTTCCCTTCATCGAGACATCTTGTTTATTTCTCGGCACATTGACCTCCAATGTTGGCGGTTGCTAGAAGCCCTAAATTCTACCTAGATTCACCAACCCAGGTGAAACCTGGTGTCGGCCCACTGGGGTCCTTTGCTTCCCGAATGCCGTAGAGCTTTAACGCTGAACACTGTAATGGAACCCGATATTCAATGAGGACTCGTTGACTTTTTCCATAGAACGTGGCTATCTACTTTTGTGTAAGTTCGCAGACAGTTATGCTGTCTTTTAAGCTCAACTGAAAGTTATCCCAGTGCTCATTACTGTCAGTTCTTCTACCCAAACACAAAGATCTGCTCCATGGGAGATGCTCTGGCTCTCTTCCTTTCTGCGCCCTTGTCCTAGGAGACCCTGAGTCCAGCTGCATCAGTGTGAGGGTGACTGAGGGTGGTACCTCGGTCCTGCCCGTGGTCCCCCCGGGATGCTCTCTAGGCCAACGCATTGGCCTGCTCAGAACATTCTTGATTTCTGTGTACTGATTTGTTATTTAGCTGCCTTGCCAAACCCCCTCGCTAGTTTTGATAGTCTGTATATCATTTTGGCTTTCCTCTGTAGACAATCATATCATATAGCACTTAAAAAATTTTTTTTTTGTTTTGGCCGCGCTGGGTCTTAGTTGCGGCATGTGGACTTCTTAGTTGCGGCATGTGGACTTCTTAGTTGCGGCATTCGAACTCAGTTGCGGCATGCATGTGGCATCTAGTTCCCCGGCCAGGGATTGAACCTGGGCCCCCTGCATTGGGAGCTCAGAATCTTACCCACTGGACCACCAGGGAAGTCCCATACAGCACGTTTTAAAAGCAGATCATAAGGCTACCTCATCTTGTCTCTGACGTGATTACAAACACACACTTCTAGTCTTCCGGTTAAGTGCGATGTGTGTTCCAGGCTTTTTGCCAGATCTTCTTTCGACAAATCAGTCAGAGTCCTCGGTTGCACACAACAGAATCCACACTAGCTGATATAGGCAGAAAGGGGTTTATTATAAATGTTTAGGTGTTCAGACAGGCTCCAGGAAGGACACCAAATTGGGCTTGCCTGCTACACAGCCAGTAAAAATGCCAGACAGCAAGGGAGTGAACACGCCATCGTCGTTGCTGCCCCGGGAACAGCACGCACACGCCTAGTCGGATGCCTGCAGTTTGGTACGGCTGCCCCGAAGAACCAGTGCCACAGCCAGTGCGCTCTCCAGAGAGCCCAGCCCCTGCCTGCACTGTCTCCTCCAGGAGACGAGGTCCACGCACCTGTACTTGCTGGGCGGAAACCCAGGTCAGAGGGGTACCTGAGCCACAGGGGAGCCTGGAATAGGTGATGTTTAGCGTCCAGCCTCTTAGAGTTCAGGAAGGTGCTAGAATGCACCAGGACAGAAGCCAGTGAGCCACATTCAGCATCTGCCTCACCAGGTGAAGAAGTTCCCTCTTCCTCCTTTGTCCAGAGTGCTTGGTTTTTTTCTTACTCATGAACAAATACTGAACTTTTAGAATGTTGTTTCTCTCTCTCACTGAGATGACCACACAGTTTTCTTCCCCCGCCCTTTTCTGTTAACATATTGATACACATGAGAAGATACTCTGCTCATAAACCACACTGCGTCCCTGGTGTTTATAGATGCCCTGGGAGGCTCTGTTTGCTGTTTATGAGTTCTGCAGCTTCGCTACATTTTTAGAGATCGTGCCAAGTTTCTGTGACAGGAATACATGACTTAATAGCCAGAGGTTTATCTCTCCACAGGGTTGTGGGGCCCTGCTGACCAGCCCCTCGCACACGTCAGGGTCCCCAGGGTCCCCGCGTCCCGGGACTCGGCCTGGGGGTGGTGCTCGAAGTCCCAGGCTCCTCCCCTTGGCTCGGACTTAGTGACATCAGGTCCCCCTGCAGGATGGTGGGACACGTGGTGGTCTCAGCTGGGCATTTCATTACCTAGAAGAAGGGGGAGGCGCTGCCCTGTTCAGTGGAGGGTGTGGACTTTGCTCATCCTCTCTATTGAGCCTTCTTCAGATTGTGTTTCCTCACTTCTCATTATTATTTCCTCCCTTCTCCTTCCGTTAGCTTTGCTTTATTTTCCTTTCTTGGGTTGAGCTCTTAAATCATTTTATTTTACATCTCTTTTGTTTTTAAATAACTACATTTAGGACAAGGAAGTTCCTTCTGGTCAGGGAGATATTCAAAATCCTCAACAACCGGTACCAGGGAACCCCAGCCAGAGTGGACCCTGTTCTAGGGTCCAGGCAGAGCGGGAGGCTTCCGCTGTTCAAGGCTGGTGGGGAGAAGCGACGGTCTCCTGGCAGCCCCGGCTACGTCCGCCGAGGCTCCAGCCTGACTCTGGTGGCACTCTGGCTGCAGCCCTGCAGGCTAGAGGGGTGGTGTGTGGCTGTTCAGGTCTGACTATCTCACGAGCTGCCTTGCATTTCCTCTCTAACCCCTGAGTCCGTCGGGGCCACCGTCTGAGGGGCGCCTGGCTGCCCGTGAGTGTTGGCTTCTAACGCGCCTGCCCTGCGTTTGGAGAATGAGGGCCGCGCCGCGCGGATTCTCTGGTATTTGCTGCCATTTCCCCTCACTGAGCGCATGGTCGGTGCTGTGTGTGGTCCAGGACGGAAAGATTGCGTGATGAGCACGCGTGCTGGGTCTCGCAGGTGTGAGTCTATGTGCCTCCCCGCGCCCCCGCCCCCCACGTATCCCCTCCAGTGCCAGGCCCTGCGGCTTCGCCCTGTAGAGATTCTTCCCCTCCACTCTGATTGTCTCCACGTCCACCTCCACAGCTACATTCTCTCCTCCGCTCCTACCCCGTGGTCCAAACTGCTGTCACCTTAGCTGGTCCACAGCTAGCTTGCCGCTCCACCTGTTCAGGCCTGGCTAGCGGCAAGCGTTCAGAATATGCCAAGCGGGCGCCAGACACAGTCTCTGCCCTCGGGGAGCTCACTATCTCCCTCCGAGGCCTTCAGTCAACAAGAAGAGCCGTCAGGAGCTCTGCCTCTCGTTCTTCTCCCCACCCAGACCCGGGCTCACCGGGGCCAACTTCACCGCCCTGGGCGCCCCTCCTTCTCTACTCCTACGCCTGTAGACGTGACCCCCGTGCAGCAGAGCTGACTGGCCCGGGTGCTGTGCTTGACGCCCCCAGAGACGTTTCCTTTGTCCTCACAGCAGCGCTGTCAGGCGGTGCAGTGTTTCCTGCAGTCCCAGCAGGGAACGCGAGGCTCACACTCAGCGTGGTGGCGGCCGTCGAACCCGACTCTCCCCGGGGGCCCTGCTCTGCACCCGGCGTCCGGGCACCTTCCGTGCCATGCATGCTGCTCCCCAGCCTGGAAACTTCTTCCCTCCACTGTCCTTGTCCTTCAGGCCTCGCTTCAGCGACCTCTCCCTCCAGGACCCCATCCCAGTGGCAGCGCTCGCAGTACCATCCCTCTACCGGGCCGTGTCCTCACTGTAAACTCTGAGGGCCTTTTGCTCACACCTGAACTGGGAGGGCTTGGAGATCTGCAGAGTGAGGATGGATGGACAGAACCCTTCACCCTCTCTCGCCAGCTTCCGTCCAGCCCCTGCCAGTGGTCAGCACGATCTCTTAAAACCATAAAGCCCACCAGGCGTCTCCGAGCCTTTAGGACAGGCACTCCGCTCGCCCGCCACCTCCAGCCCCGTGCTCTGCTCAGGCCCGCAGCTTCTCAGGGGAAGCCTGAGGGGACTGGGGGCGGGGACCCACACCCGCTGCCCCCGTGCTGTTGGGGTGCTTGTCCTACTCTTCCCCACCCACTCCCCCTTGTCGCCCTCCACTCTCAAGGGGTCACCTCCTAGGGGCAGCCCTGGCCTCGTCTCTCAGCGTAAATGTGCCCCCGTCGGACTCCTGCTCGTGTCTTAAGCTCCGTGTGCCCAGCCTGGCACACAGCAGCAGCCCAGCCACGGCCGGGGGTGAGCAGGTGACGGCTCTCGATGCCCCCGCAGGGGCCGAGGCTGAACGCTATCCACCGGCTTGCTCCCCGGTCGCCCCGGTGTGAGCAGCCGCAGGTCCGCTTGCTCACCCACAGATGCCGGCTGAGCTCCTGCCGTCTGTCCCCCCGGGGCCTGGAAACAGGCAAATGGAAGAAGATTCAGGCGCCCAGGTCAGGAAGCCAGGCCCGTCCTAGTGTCACCAGGCAGCAGAGGTGCGAGCCTAGGGCTCTGGGGGCCCCTGGGCTGAGCCCAGGCATCAGCCTGGTGCTCTGCTCACGTGACCATCCGGGGAGCGGACAGGGAGGCCTTCCTGGAGAAGGCAGTGCCTGAGCAGACTGTCCCGGCATCCCTAGCAGGTTGGGAGCCAGCCTGGTGGACGTCTGGGGACCTGCGGGAAGAGGGTGAGCAGGGCCAGATCCGGGCCTTGCCGGTCCGCCCTGGCCCTGGAAGTTGGAGCAGTGGAAAGTGCAGGGGGGCTCTAGCGGGGAAAGACCCTGTCCCACTACGTACACTTCAGACCTTCGTTCTGCAGGCCTGGGAGCAGTGGTACCAGTGACAGATACCTAATTTGCAGGACCCAGTGCACACAAAAACACAGGGCTCCTTGTTCAAAATTATGAAGAACTTCAAATGGCTACAGCAGAGACGGCTGAGGCCCCAGAAGGCAGTGGAGGGAGGGACGGGGCTGGGGGGTGACGCTGCGGGACGCAGCTCAGCCCGGCAGGGCGGTCACAGGTGATGAAGATGGAGGCAAAGAACCCGGTTGCTGGCAGACCCCGGGTCCAGGCGCTAGGAGCCAGCACCCGGTGGCAGCAGACCCGGGGTCCAGGCGCTGGGAGCGGCACCCGGTGGCAGCAGACCCCCAGCGCTGGGACTCAGGGCCCTGGCTCTGGGCCTGGGGTCATCGGTGCAGCATGAGGGTGGGAAGGGACGCCCGCCGGGGGTGTGCAGGCCACGGGGCGCTGGGACGGGGGGCCCGGAGGAAAGGCTGAGAGGAAGCGGGGCGGGACCCAGGAGGCAACCCTGGGGGCTTTGGGACGCCCCCTCGTCTTTCATCACCCCCAGCCATGCTCTCTGTCCCCAGCTCCTGTGGCCCCCGCTCAGTCCGAACCCCTGGCGGTGGATGGAGCAGGTGATGGGGCCTCTGGAACCTCTCTGCTCAGGCGCAGCCCACAGGGCTCCCCTCGCCCTGAAGCCCACAGTCGCCTCTCTCAGCGCCTCCAGGACACCCCCCCTAGGACACCCCCCCGGATCTGGCTCCCCCCACAACCACACCCCCCGGCCTCCGTCGCCCCTCACCTGCCTGCCTGCTTATGTGCTGCGGTGGGGCCAGAGGGTCCCTGACGGCTGCTGTCCCCTCAGGCCTCCCTGAACCCCAGTGACCACAAGCTGGATGAGGAGCTGTGCCAGACACTCACACAGCGCTACACGAGCATCATGAACCGGCTGCAGAGCCTGGGCTACGACGGGCGGGTGCACCCGGCACTGACCGAGCAGCTGGTGAACGCCTATGGCATCCTGCGGGAGCGGCCCGAGCTGGCCGCGTCCAAGGGCGTCTCCTACACTGTGGATTTCCTGCAGCGCGTGCTGGTGGAGACCGTGCACCCCAGCATGCTCGCCGATGCGCTGCTGCTGCTGTCCTGCCTCAGCCAGCTGGCGCACGACGACGGCAAGCCCATGTTCATCTGGTGATGCTGGCTCGCTGTGGCCCGCACCTGGGTGCACAGCCATTAAAGCTCGCCTCGGACGCTGGGCCTGCGCTGGTACTCCTGGGTGGTGCTGCCTCCTCTGGGGGGCTCGCCAGCGCCCCCTCCCCAGCTCCCCTTCAGTCCCGCCTACCCTGTAGGTTCACGTCCCTTCCGGGGCCCCTGGGGAGAGCCCCAAGACCAAAGCTCAGCAGCTGTGTTACCAAGGGGGATGTTCCAAAGGCCCCAAAGCTGGCCTGGCAGTGGGAGCACAGGAGCCCCTGAGACCTGGAGGGGGAAGAGCCGGAAGGAGCCCAGCTGGCAGGCAAGGGTCGTGGTGTGCCAGCAGGCCTGGTGACGGGCATGGAACTGAGGCCTGGGCACAGAGCAGGAGGCAGAGGCGACGTCAAGAGAAGGATGTGGGCGTGGGAGCGCCTCCCTCTGCACGAGGCGGCAACAAGTGCTTCTGGAACCTCACGGAGGGCAGGAGGACGTTAAAGGGAGGGGAGCCAGGAGGAACCTGGGCACCGCGCAGCCCAGGGAGACGGGGTCCCTGCCAAAGGCCCCGCAGGAAGGGACCGGACTGGGAGAGTCAGAGCCGGCGAGGGCAGATCCCACCTACTGCAGGGGCAGAGCTGAGGTGCACAGGCCAATGGAAAGCCGAACAGAGCAGGGGAGAGCAGGAGTGGGGATGGGGTGGGGTGGGATTCCTGGAGGTGACCTAGAGACTCGGAGCGGGAAGGGCTCAGGGAGAGTGCGGGATGCAGAGGGGTGCAGGCCAGGATGCTGGTCCCTTCAGGACGTGCGTGAGGAGAGGAGAGCAGCGTGGGGCAGAGCAGAGGGCCTGCCTGAAGAGGGGGAGGTGGTGGGGATGCGGACCCCAGTCAAGGAGGCTCTGGAAGCACCGCTGCCTGCCAGCCTGAGGACCGCAAGTGAACAGAGGAGCCCTGGGTCTGGGTTCAAGCAGGGGACTCACGTCAGCAACCAGCGAGGGGTGCGGAGAGGGGTGTAGCGCGTGCTGGGGTGCTCGGCCCCAGAGCTCCGTCTGCTTGCTCCCCTCACTGCCGGGCTGCTACTTCAGGAGGTGAAGCCAGACCCCTGGGAAAGGCAGGGAAGGCCTCTGTGTATAGACATGTTAGAGAGCTACACATGCAGACCTTCCAGCTCTGCCTGCCGAGAAGGCTTAGCAATACGACAAACCCACGGCCACGAGCACACCCAGCACCAGCTCTTGATTCGTAAAGGGTATCGGGGATTTCTGGAAAATTGGGGGCTGGGGGGGGGAGCAGAAGCCCCTTCTCCTCCATGTCTGTAGGTGTGAAGGGCAGCCCTGGCCCAAACTTCAGGGCAATTTAAGAGACAACCTTAAGAGCTCTAGGAACTGGTTCACAGCTCGAATTAGGAAGGTGGAGGGCAGGGCAGCGCCTGAGCAAGCGGGAGGCGGCTCGGTCCTGGGATGCAGCAGAGCGGGTGCAAGAGGCTCCGCGGACGCAGAGCTGGCTTCCACCTGGCTCGCGTGCCCCGGCGGCCCGGCCTACTGCGCGGGGCCGAACCAACAGCCCTTCCCCCAGATTGGAAGCTTCTTGGGGGAGGGTCACAGAGCCGCCTCCACTATGGGCGGTGCCCGGCGCTGAGCCGGTGGCTGGTGAGGCCTCTCCGAGTCCGCCCCTTCCTCGGACTTGGGGGGAAGCAGGTCGGGGTGGGGTAGATCCCGCAGTCTGGGCAGCGGGAGCGCCGGGGCCATTACGCTCTGACTCGCGGGAGGAGGGAGAGGGGGAGGCAGCGCGCATCGCGCTCCACTCCCTGTCGCTGCGCCGGCCCGCATTAAAAAGTGTCGCGCTCCACTTGGTGTGGGCTGCACCCAGAAGTCGCTCCCATCGGGCGGGTCTGGGGGTTCTTCCTGCGGCTTTCAGGGGAGGGCGGGGCGAGAAGGATCTGGGGCGGGACTAGGGTCTCTTTCGCTTTCCCTTTTGTTCTCCAACCGCCGCCGAGGTTCCGCGCGGGTGAGGAGAGGGCGGCTTCCCGGGTGGCTCCGCCTGTGCCCATACCCCCAGGCTCGCGGGGGCTCAGCGCCTTGCCGCCTCCGCGCACAAGTTGTGCCACGTGGCCTTGACCCCTGTGACTCCCCTGCAGCTCCCGGGCACGCACGAACGAGTCGACTCGCACGCTGGAAGCCAGTGAGTCGTCGGAGAGACTTGATACCAAGAGCCCCGCGCGCCACGCCATGCCCGCCCGACTGGCCCCCGACGCCCTGCGCCCTACGGCCCTCACCCTTCCCGCACCCTGTGCTGCACGCTCTCCCCGGCCTGGCCCGCGCGCTACGTTTCTCGGCCTGCTGGGCCCTGGACCAGCTGCTGGGCTGCTGGGCGCCGGCCGCACGCCCGAGCGACCAGATCTGGCTGAGCGCCGCAGCGGGCGCCGGAGCGGCTCTGTCGCTGCTGCTGCTTGTCGGCCTGCCTGTGGCACTGCCGGACCTGCTGCTGCAAGCCTGGCGCCGTCCCTTCTGCTACCAGCCCCCTCCGCAGTGCTGGGCGCCCCCCACGCCCTGGCGCCCCGCGCGCAGCTTCAGCTTCTTCGGCGTCAACCTGTGCCTGCTCCCCGACGGGCTGGCGCACAACCAGCGGCGGGCCGAGACCGTGGGCGCCGTGCTGCTCGCCGGCCTGCGGCATTCGCCCTATGGGGCTACCGGCTGCAGTTGGCCAGTGCAGGGGTGCCGTGAGGGGTGCTGATAGGCGCCGTGCCAGCGAGGCTGGACTTCATGTGCCTGCAGGACGTGTTCCATCTTCGCGCAGAGCGACGCCTGCTGAGCCACCTGGCACCCAATCTGGGCCCGGTGTCGTACGACGTGGCACATTCGGCCTGCAGCCCGGGCTACACCTGAAGCTGCTGGGCAGCGGGCTGCTGCTGGCCTCGCGCTACCCGCTGCTACGCGCAGATTTCCAGTCCTTCCTCACGCACGTTGCGAGGATGCGCTGGTCTCCAAGTGACTACTTTCTTCACAGGTGTCCGCCCACCGGCCGCGGCGATCCGGAACCCGGAAGGGGGCGGGGCATGGGGTCGAACGCGCGAAGGTCCCCAAGCGCAGCTGGGCATCCCGGACGGGCGCCACATCGTGGGCTTTCCTGCACTGCACGCATTTGCATTCGCCGAGCGGTGAGCCCGACTGGCTGCTCGTAGGCTCGTGGGCGGGCCGCCCCCCCTCACTCTGCGCGGAGTCCCAATCCTTGTCTGCACCTCCCCTCCCCCCACCGTTTATTCACTGCCCCAGGCGCCGCCAGTCCCTTCGAGTGCTGGTGGGCTCACAGATCGGGACCGGGCGGGGCGGGGGAAGGCGCGGGCGCAGCTGGGTGTCCAGGAGGCAGAATGGCACCTCGGACTGAGCCTTCCTTCCCTCCCCGTCCCTCTCCTCCAACCCACCCCGCCCCGCAGAGGACGGGCTCCTGCGCCGCACACAGCTGACGCTGTTGCTGGACTGGGCCGAGCTGTCCGAGGTTGAGAGCCGCCAAAGTGACGAGGCCGTGGCCTTCAGTGTGCGCCTGGGTGACCACAACTTCGACAACTGCGCGCTTAGGTGAGAAAAGGCTGCAGCGGGGCGGGCGGGCGGCCCCGCCCACCGAGCGCCGGCCTCTCCGCAGCCCACGCGCGGGAGCAGCGGCACCAGCTGTTCAGCCGCTTCCGGGACCGCCGCCGGCCGGGGACGCGCCGGGGTTGGGGGCGGACGGACCTAGGGCGGGCTCGCGGGCCAGGCTCCCACTGATACCGCCTCTCCCCACCGTCCTCCGCCCTCCCCAGGAACGCTGCTGAGATCCTGCAATCTCCGCCACTCCGTGGCCTGCCCCGCGGAGATGCTGAGGTGAGTGGCTACCTGGGGGCCAGGCAACGCCCGGAAGGAGGGATGCCCTGACCTTGGTGACACTGCCACCCCCCTCAGGGCCTTGGAAAGGAGGAAGGGCGCCGCCACTCCCTGGCAGGCCCTCCCAGGGGAGGCCGCCCGGCTGAGCACTGGCGGGCCAGCGCCTGGACTACGTCACCTACCGAGGAGGACCCGGAGGCGTTCTGAGCCCAGTACGTGCCAGAGCTCAGGGTGCTGGGCCTGCTGGCGCTGGGGCGACCCCTCAACCTGACTCCTGCCCCCAAGAGGTAGAACGGGTGACATTCAGCACCGCCCTGGTGGGGCTTACGGACCACCTGGCGGTGGGACTTGCAAGCCCTCCTAAGGCAGGTACGGAGGAGACAGGTGCCAGCACGGGTGGAAAGACAGACAGGGACACAGAACGTGAGCCTGGCCAGCCGCCACTGGAACAGGACGACTTCAGGAATCTTTATTGTGCGGGGCCCTCCCTCACACAGTCTCCTGGGCCCTGCGGTACTCATAGACGCTGCCCCGCTCAGGGAAGGCTAGGGGCTGCAGGAGCGACGCCGGCAGAGGGGCGGGGTCCTCTGGGTCCCCATAGCCCCCGCCGCCTGGCGTGTGGAGACAGAACACATCCTGTGGGGCAGAGGGGAGGTTCAGTGTGGGGATGGGCTCTGCCTGTCTCCTGCCGCCATCCCATCCCCGGCAGGGCAGTGCAGCCACAGCAGCCAGCTGGGACCCCAGAGTCTGCAGCCCCCATCCTTCAGGAGCCAAATTAAACTCCGTCTCTAGTTATCTGTGCAACTCCATTCACTCTGTGGGATGAGGGCAGCTGGGGGTGGGGGCGGGGATGGGACAGGCCACACCGCAGTCCTTACCCCCGGGGACACGAGCACTGAGGTCTTCCCACCCAGATTCACTGTCCGGCCGCCCTTCCGGATCAGTAGGTTTAGGCCACGAGTTCCGGGCTCACCCCCTGCAAGAAGAGGCAAGGTAGGGGTGGCCCAGGAGGCAAGGAAGTGAGAGGCGTGGGGAGTTGGTGGGGGAATAGGGGGGTAGATGGGACAGGAGGTGGGTGGGGAACTGATGGCCGTGATGGGCTGGGGGGAGAGGGGAAGGGAGCCACTTACCCATAAGGCCATAAGGCTGGAAAGCGCGGCGCTCGGTCAGCACTGACAGTAGCGCCTCCTCACGAAAAAGCAGCTCGCGGATAACACCATCGCCGCCCCGGAAGCGGCCGCGCCCCCCAGACCCCAGTCTCAGTTCAAAGCGGCGCAGGATAACTGGGTACCTGCGCGGGGCCAGGGTCTCAGCCCAGCCTGCCCCGCCCCCGCTCCACCCCAGGCCCGGCTCCTCAGCCCCACCCCTTCCTGCAGCGCTCACCTGCTCTCCAGGATCTCGGGGTCGGTGATCCGTGTGTTGGTCATGTGGCTGTGCACACCGCTGCGCCCATGCCAGCCGGGGCCCGCGCCCGCGCCGCCCGCCACCGTCTCGTAGTAGCCCATGTGGGCGTTGCCCAAGGTCACGTTGTTCATGCAGCCCTGGCGGGGACAAATGGCCGCTGCACTGGCTGGGGGCGCGTCGCCTCTCGGCCGGTTGCAGCCTGCAGCCCTCCCTCCCCCCGCCCCCAGCAGCCCCAGAGCTGTGCCCACCGGCCCACCACACCTGGGAAGCAGCGCAGGCCCCGAAGGCCCCCAGGATGACGTCCACCACCCGCTGCGACGTAAGCACGTTGCCGCCCACCACCGCCGCCTCTGGGGACGGGTCCAGGATGGAGCCCTTAGGGATCACAACATGCACCGGTGCCAGGCAGCCCTGTGGGGAGAGGGGCCAGCGCTCAAGAAGAGTTGGGAGGTACACCACACGCGTCCTTGGATCAGTCCGACCTTGGGCTGACCTAGCCCCAGGCTCCCTCAGGGTGACGTGGGGCTTGGGGTTGACCTGCTGTCCGTGTGCGCAGCACACCCTTGCACACCTGGTTGAGCGGGATGTCGCGGCCGACCAGACAGCGAAGGCAGTAGATGAGCGCAGACAGCGTGATGGCCCGAGGCGCGTTGAGGTTGCCCAACACCTCGGGCCCCGTGCCGCTGAAATCGAACACCGCGCTACCCTGCCCGCCAGGGAGGAGGGGAGACGTCAGCAGCGGGCGGCCACGGCCCCGACGCCCGGGGAGGCCCTTCCTCCCAAGACGGACCTCACTCACGTCGATCTGCACTCGGAGTCGGATGGGAGAACCGTCGTCCATGTGGTCCTCTGCAGACACCTCCAGGGGCAGGCCCTGGGCCTGCCGGGAGGTTCCAAAGGCCCGAAGCATGTCTCGCACAGCTAGCTCAGCGTTCGCCTGGTGGAGAGTATGTTCAGTAACGGCCGCGCCACCTTCCAGGTAGGCCAGGTGCCCCCCACCTCCGTCCACCTGCCTGGGGCAGGCACAGAGCTGCCGGCTTGCTCCTTCCCCCCGGCCCACCTGAATGTGGCCCATGTAGGCCTGTACCACATCCAGGCCGTACTGCCCAATGAGCTCGCCCACCAGCTGGATGCCCTTCTGGTTGGCTGCCACCTGGGCACGCAGATCTGACAGGTTGTCGTGCAGGTTCCGTGTTCCGCTGCAGCCTGGAATGTTGCCTGGTGCCCGCAGGGCTTCAGTTACCGCTGAATGGATGGGATCGCCACTGAGCCACTCAAAGTCCCAGGGCCACCTGGTGCCCTGCTCCACACCTGCTGTACTTCTCTGCTGGGGCACTTGCGGGGACCACGTGTTGGCCCATCACTGGCTCCCCACTACCCTGCTGGCTCTTCCAGGTTCCTGAAAATCCCCAGCTTCCCCCCATCAGCTACTGAACCTTCTTCCCACACCACAATGCCCCAGGGCACCCTAGGATGGGACAAGCAGCTTTGACCGTGACCATGATCTCACGTGGGCTGGAGGTACCCGAGGGAGGGGGCAGGGCAGGGGGAAGGTTCCCTCAGCAAACTCTCCTCCCTCCTTCATTTCTCCTGCCCTACCTCCCCACCACCTGGCTCACACTCTCCAGCCTTTTCTGGGCACCCCTCCCCTCTCCCAGCAGGAAAAACCACTTCCCTTAACCCTCCCACACTCACACTGCCCTCAGCCCTGGGGCCCCGAACTCACCGCCACAGCCAGTCGTTTTGAAAGAGCGCCAGCATGGCTGCCTGTGCGCCCCGCCACCGCCCCCAAAAGATCTGGACAAGGCGTCCACCTCGGGCAGCAGTACGGGTTCTGGCCCCGTGGACCACTCCCTGCTTCGGGCAAGCTCCCCTCCTGAGTCTGGATCAGGGTCCTCTCAGGCTCCCTGGCCACTGGGTCCTCTGCCAGACATGCCTGCACAGGTCCCTCGGTGACCCCTACCCTCTGCCCCCACCCCATACTGACCAAGGGAGCAGCCAGGCCTCAGTCACTCTGTTCGTGTTCTCAGCACCCACAACAGCCCATGGCTCTGTTACCCCACCTTCCACCCTGCCCACATCACCTGTTCTCACTCTGGGATGCCCCGTGGGCTCTCACACCAGCTGTCCCTGACCCCCAGGTGCCACTGCAGTCTCTGTCCCACCTTCCTGGCAACTGCAGTGCCAGGACCTCCATCCTACAGCTGTCCAAACTTGATTCCCTCCCCGCTGCCCAAGTCCCACCACTTACCAACCCTGACCTCCAAAACCCCCTCACCGTTGCCTCCCAGCTTGAGGCTCAGCATCTTCGAGGGCGAGAGCGGCTGCCCCCCCCACGCCCCCTGCCTGGCCTGCAGGAGCCTCCACGCGCCCTGCACACAGGCAGGGGCTTGCCCGGTGCACAGGCAGCTCAGGCCCAGCTGAAGTCCTTCACGGCTGCCCAGTGACTGACCCAGGCCCCGAGAGCCTGCAGCCCCTGGCCGCTGGTGCCGCCGTGTCTCTGCAGTCCCCAGACCCAGTGCAAACCCAGTGCAAATCATAAACGCCACCAGCAGCCGCCCACCTTAAAATAGGCTCCTCCCCCTCCTGCACCCAATCCCTTGGGTGTCCTGGCCAGCTCCCCACCCCCAAACCTTCCAGGCCTCCTTGGACCCAGGCAGAACTCAGCTCAGCTCGTCTGATCACCTCTGAGAGGCGATCTGCAACCACCCTGGGGGGTCACCGACCAGCTCCCTCAGCCTGGAGGCTGGCCTAGGCCAGGGGGGAGGGGGGCAGCGGGGGCTGCATCCCCGTGTCCGGCCCAGCCTGGCTGCACGAAGCGGCCAGGTGTTTCAGCCCCACCCCAGATCCGTTCCCACTCACCCTCCTCCTGGAAGACACCCGCCTGGACGAGTCTGAAGGACAGAAAGATGGCGCCCTCCTGCTGCAGGGTGGTGGAGTGGGGGGGCATGGAGCCCGGTGTGATGCCCCCAATGTCCGCGTGGTGCCCACGGCTGGCCACGTAGAACACAGGCCGCGTCTGACCCGGCCAAAACACCTAGGGGTGAGGGCAACGGTCAGGGGCGCCGGCGGCCCTACCACCCGAGGTACCTGGGCAGCGACCCTCACCGGTGTGATGACGGTCAGGTCTGGCAGGTGGCTGCCCCCCGCGCAGGGGTGGTTGCTCAGCAGAACGTCGCCGGGATGGAGGTCAGCCCCCACGTGCTGGATCTGAAGCCAGGAGACAGGTGCAGAGTGGGGAGGGGGCCGGTGCAAGGGGTGGGGGGCAGGGAGAGGGGCCCGCCGAACCTGGAACTGCACCGTCTCCTGCATGGCACCCAGGTGCACAGGGATGTGAGGGGCGTTGGAGACCAGCCCCCCGTCGGGCCCAAAGAGGGCGCAGGAGAAGTCCAGGCGCTCCTTGATGTTGGTGGAGATGGCCGTGCGCTGCAGGATGCGGCCCATCTGCTCTGGGGACACAGAGTGACCAGATGCCCGCTGGCCCCACCCCATCCACAGCGCATCCCCGGGGTACGGAGAGGCAGGGCCCACCGCCTTCAAGGCCTCTGAGTCCCGGACCCAGGACCCGAAGCGGGCGATGGTCCACCCAGACACTGCGAAGCCATGGCCAAGCCACATCTTACTCGTGAAGGGCACTCCCTTCCTCCCCAGCCCTGCCCAGCGCCACCATCAACCCTACGCCCTGCTTCGCACATTAAGAAACTGGTGCGGGGCACGGGCTTCGGAGCCTGGGTTCACCGTGCGGAGCCCAGACCACGCGGTGCCGGGAGGAGAAGAGCGCCCACCCTGCCCAGGGCCTGCGCCACCGCAGGACGCCTTCCGCTTCCGCCCCTTCCCCCGGGTCACGCTTTCTCTCCGCACACCCCTGCCTGGTGCACTGCAGGGAGCGGGGCGGGGGAGCAGGATGGTGGAAGCCACTCACCAGCAATGCTCATGAAGCGATGGGAGAAGATGGACAGGTGGATGGGGTCGAGCTGGGCACCCACCGTGCCGGGGGCCTCAGCCCCCACGGAGATGCGGATGTCCCCAGTCTCAGTCACCTCCGCCTGGCAGGCTGGCTCCACCAGGATGGTACTGCGGGCAGGGCAGCAAAGGGGCTGCAGGAGCCAGGCCACACACCCCTCCCAAGCAGGGACCCCACGTGCCCAGGCCCAGAAGCAGCCCAACCAGGAAGGAACCCGAGAGCCCTTCAGGCTCCTGCAGCCTGGGCCCCACGGGTCACCCCAGCCCCGGCAGCCGTGGCCCCGGCCCTCAGCCCACCTGTTGCTGTCAATGAGGAGGCAGGGCCCCTGCAGCTTGTGCCCAGCGCCCAGCTCGCCCAACAGGTACACGGGGGTCTCCTGGTAGCCCCCCTCGAAGTAGCAACGGGTCGTCTGAGGAGGGCGTCAGGTGAGCGAAGTTCCTAGGGCCGGTGCCCTCCCTGCGTCTCCCCCTCCACACCTGTCCCCGTGTCCCAGTGGGTGTGGGTGGACGGGCACAGGCAGGGCCACCAACCTTGTCTACCCGGGGAGGCCCACTCTGGGCTTTCGGGACGTACTCGAGGCGAAGGCCACTGCGGCCAGTGCCCCTCACCCGCACGTCGTCCACCACCACTGGCCGCTCAGGGATGATGAAGCCAAACTCCCTCATGTACCTGCACACCCGGAGGTCCCGGAGAGCCATCAGGGCGGGCAGCCAGGCCAGCGGACGCCAGCCAGGGCTCCCAAGACGCGGAGCTCACATACCTCTCGACGAAGCCTGCCCCGAAGTCGCCCGCTCGGGGTGAGTGGGCCGTGGCCGGGTGCTGGTGGGCGGACACCATCAGGGCGCAGTCCGTGCCCTGGTAGCGCAGGTGCAGGAAGCTCTCGGTGCTGATCTGAGCCCTGCAGCGGCGACAGGCAGGGCACTCGCACTGGGTACCCTTGAGGACACCCAGGCCACCCCTCCCTGACTGCCGCCGAAGAGGCCCCAAGTGCAGCGGCTCGGGTGCGGCAGGCCCTCCACCTGGCCCGGCAGCCCCCGGAGCCCCACCTGGGGAAGCCCTGGGCCCGCAAGGCATCCACGCACTGCTCCTCCAGGCGGCTCAGCCTCTGGTCCAGCTGCACAAAGGTCTCGGGCGCGTAGGGCAGGGAGCAGGGCTCCTGTGCCTCGTGTACCACGTCTGCCAGGGCCAGCCCCAGTGCTGACAGCAGCCCACTATGCCTAGGGGGACAGGGACCGCACAGCGAAAGGGTGGGGTGCCTCCCACAGTGGCCCCCCCGGCCCCAGGACACACGCACCACACCCAGACACACCTATGAATGTGCACGGTGTCCATGCCCAGGGCCCGGGCGATGGCGCAAGCGTGCTGCCCACCAGCTCCCCCAAAGCAAGCCAGCACGTGGGCCGAGGGGTCGTGGCCTCGCGCCTGGGGAGCCAGAAGGGGATCAGTGGCCTACCCTGCCCCGCCCGGCCCTCCCCCATCCTGTCCCCCACCCCTGGGCGAGGGGAAAGGCGGCTGTACCTGCGTGAGCGCACGGATGGGCCGGCACATGGCCTCGTTGGCCACACGCACAAACCCCATGGCCACCTCCTCCAGGCTCAGTGGGGAGGCCGGACAAGGCCCGTTGGTCAGGAAGCTGTTGACCTCGGTGGCTACAGCCTCCAGGGCCTTTCGGGACGCCTCCGGGGACAGTGGCTGGTCCTCTCCCGGCCCAAAAATGCGGGGGAAGGAGGCAGGCAGCAGGCGACCCAGGACCAGATTAGCATCCGTCACGGTCACAGGGCCTCCTGGGAGGTGTGCACGGTGTGGGGCTGGAGGTGAGCGCCGGGAGCGGGCAGTGGGGGTGGGGCTGGAGGGGTCGCTGGGCCTGGGCCGTGTGGGAAGGGGACTGGCAGAGCACGTGCCAGCTCTTACCTTTGCGGTAGCAGGCGGGGCCAGGGTGGGCTCCTGCAGACTCTGGCCCCACCACGAAGAGGCCTGACCTTTGGAGAGGGGAATTGGAGGTGGAGGTGGAGGTGGGCTGGGAGGCAGGGCTGGGAGGCAGGGCTGGGGGTCCGCCCAGGTGCGGGATGGGGCTGACCTGAAGAAGAGGCGGGAGCCCCCACCAGCTGCCACGGTGTTGATGTCCAGCTGGGGGGCCTGGAGGGTGACACCAGCTGTGCTGGCCTCGAAGACGTGTTCAAATTCGCCAGCATAGCGGCTCACGTCGGTAGACGTGCCTGGTGGGAGACGGGGTGATGAGGGGTCATCCCACAGACCTGGATGCCTGACATTGCCCAGCCCGGCATCTGAGGCTCCCCCGGACCCCCCCCCTCAGGCCCTCATACCTCCCATGTCAAAGCCGATGACAGGATGGCCACCCTCCACCCGGTAGGTGGTGGCTGAGTACCCAACGACGCCCCCAGCAGGGCCCGAGAGCACAGCGCGGGAGCCACTGAAGGAGTCCATGGGCGCCAGGCCACCATCGGAGCGCATGAACAGCACCTGCACGTCCTGTGGGCAGGCAGGTGGGCAGTGAGGGGCGGGGCGGCGCAGGGCGGGGGTGGCCAGGGCGGGCCGGCGGGGGGCCTCACCTTGAGCTGACCCTGGAAGCCACGGCGGAAGCCCTGCACGTAGCGCTGGATGGTGGGTGTGAGGTAGGCGTCGGCGCAGGCAGTGTGCCCCCGGGGCACGATGCGCACCATGGGCATGGCCTCCGAGGACAGTGACACGTGTGTGAAGCCCAGCTCGCGGGCCAGGGCGCCCACCTGCTGCTCGTGCTGGGCCCACCTACGATGGCGTCCGAGTGCCGCTGAGCTACCTGCCCACCCGCTGGCCCACCTGCCGCCCGCACCCCCAGCCAGCCCACACTCACGTGTATGAGTGCATGAGCACCACGGCCAGGCTGCGGATGCCTCGGGACAGGAGCCCCTCCAGCTTCCCTCGCAGGCCCCCCAGGTCCACAGGCTGCTGCACCTCCAGCAGGTCCCCTGTGCGGCCTGCAGGGAAGCCCGCCGCTGCCCCGTCAAAGGCCCATCTGGGCCTGCTGCCCTGCGCCCCAACACTCGGGCATCCGTACCTTTCACGGGCATCCCAGCACCTGGCTCCTCTCGATACAGCACCACACGCTCGTCCACTTCCAGCACCTCCTCGTACAGCATCTCGGGCATGGGCACGGCCTGAGGGTAGGCAGAGGCTCAGAGGAGTCCCAGGCCTGAGGGTCCCTGCTGGGGCCCTGCACGGGTGGGGCAATGAAGGCGAGCAGATGTGTCCCAACAGGCCAGTCCACAGGCCCAGGAGACACAGTGAGACAGGGTGACACAGTCAGAGCGGGTGGCCCCAGGAAGGCCCCCCCGGGGGGCGGCTCTCTGCCCCCAGGCCTCTGAGTGCAGCCAACTGCCCCACCCCCACAAAGGCAGCTCCTTCCCAGAGCCCAACCGTGGGGGTGAGGGTCAGGGTCCAAGACTGGGCGGAGCGGCAGACAGGCATAGGACAACACGTGACCAGTCAGGGCTAGGGGGACGCAGCATCCCACTACGAGTGCCCGGAACCTCCTCTCTATCAGCTGGTGGCCTTGGGCTGGCACTGACCCTTCCAAGGACCGCCCTCCCTGCGGGGCCACAGCACTCCAGGAAAACATGTGCTGCAGAGCTGGCCACCTGCTGGCGTGATGAACTCACCAGGTCAAAGAGGTCTTCACGGGCCTGGGTGCCCACATGCAGCAGGTCTCGGAAGCCGCGAGTCACCAGCAGTGCCACCCGCTCCCCGCACCGTTCCAGCAGCGCGTTGGTGGCTACCGTGGTGCCCATGCGGATGCTGGCGATGCGACTGGTGTCCAGCGGCCGGTCCCGCGGCAACAGCATGCCCCCCTCCTGGGAACCACGTGGTCAGCCATCAGGCCTCTGGCCCCAAGTCCCTCCCCACCCCACCACTCTGCCCTGGCCACCTGCTCCAGGATGCGGCGGATGCCCTCGGTGGGTGCGTCCACATAGTTGGCAGGGTCTTCTGAGAGCAGCTTTAAGACCCTCACGTGCCCCCCTGGGCACTGGGCAAAGACATCTGTGAAGGTGCCTCCGCGGTCAATGGCAAAGTGGAAGCGCCCCTCCGGGCTGCCCATGGTGGTGGGGCTGGAGTCCAGCAGCGACTCTTCAGCCGGCAGTCCTGGGAGCACTGGACAGAGGCAGTGGGTCAGCAGGGAGGCCTGGGGGGCATCCTGGGATGGGGAGAAGACAGGGGTTCCACGCCCATGAGGGGCCCTGGGTGGAGCCAGAGCTGGGCAAGTCCTGCAGGGCCTCATGACCCCCACTCCCCAGTTCCAGTGCGCAGGGTTGCAAGGGACCCCAGGGCCTGGAGCAGGCCTTTCAAAGGAGGAGGCGCGGCGGGAGCCCTCGGGCTGGGGTTTCTGGGCCCTTAAGCACGAAGAGGCACGTGGGTTGGGGGCTGGTGAGAAAAGGCCCACTTCCCAAAGGCTCGACCTTGGAGCAGAGGCCGAGCGGGACACGGGGACGGGGCGGAGCCTGCGCAGACGACGGGGCGGGGCCGGGAGGCGAAGGGGAGCGGGCGGTGGGGGCGAGTGGGGCCGGGGGTGCGGACGGGGGAGCGGGGAGGATCCTGGCGCGGCGCCCACCTGGCCTGTCGGCTCCGGTCGCTCGCCGTCCGTTCGGCCGCACTCGCTCTGGGCCCTGCCCGCGCCCTCCCCCAGCCCGGAAGCGGGGCCCGCCGGGCTCTCCGGTTGCGTCAGGCTCGGGTGTCCCGGAGCCGCGGGCGGCAGGCGTCTCCATCCAGATCCCCGGCGGGGCGGCGCCGTGCCGGCGCGGCCCCACCCCGCGGCCCGGCCCCCGGGCACCTGGGCTCTGCGGCCGCCCGGCCCTGCGCCGGTCCGGAGCTCGCTGAGCGCGGGCGCCCCGGGTGCCCTCCTCCAGGTGGAGCAGGCGGAGCGCAGACGACCTCGGACCGCGCCCCGCAGCGTGCGGCGGTTGTGGCGGCCCGGGGTGGGGGATGGGTGACGCGGGAGGGCAGAATTGAGTGGCCCGACCCGCGGCGGGGGGGCAGGGGGGCGTCCTGGAGAAACCCCTCACTCTCCGTGGGCGCGCCAGGCGCTGTGGGCTGGGGGCCCTCCACGCCGCCCTCCCAGGCCGACCGCGCGACGCTCGGGCTGATATCGCCAGACGCTGTGGTCAGTCTCGGGACCACGGGGCGGGTGGCTGCCCTTCCCTGGCCCGTTTCCCGGCGAGCTGAAAGCTGCCCGGGTGCCTGCCCAGGCCTGAGGTGGGCTGGAGCTGTGAGGGGCCGCAAAGGAACGGTGGGGGATAGGGGGCTTCCCAAGCAGAGGAACAGCTGGTGAAGGGGCCACCTCACCTCATGGGCCAGGCAGACAGGTGGCCAGACAGGCAGGGACACGGTCCGTGCCCTGGCCCCATCCCACCCCAGACTCTACCGCTTCCTTGAGCCTTGCTGGCCCTTGAAGTCTGCTTGGTCCCAAGAGGAGAGAGGGAGGTTGACTGCTGTGAGAGCACAGGGTCTGGGCTGCAACCCAGGCTGCAGCAGGGCTCCCCACGGACTGGTGGCCTCTGGCCGCCTCACATCCTCTGTATGATGGGGCATTAAAGGGCAGCCTCACGGCTCCCTCACTTCAGTCTAGCGCTGCTCTGAGGTCACTCAGAGATGTCACCCTCTCGCCGCTGCACCCCTAGAAGAGCCCCCCGACTCCATTCCTCGCCCCTTCCTCCACAGCACCTGTCAGCACCTGACAGAACACGGCTGCACGGGAGCAGGGATTTCTCCCACTTTTCGCTGTCCTGCACGGCTCGGTGAGTGCAGCCTGCGGGTCCCTGAGGAGACCCCCACGGCCCTGGCCCACGCACCTCTTTCAGCATCCCTGAAGTTGATGGTTCTGCGCCGGGGCAGGCGGGGGCTGGCGGTCACCTCGGCCAGGAGCCCGGAGCTGCAGAAGCTCAGGCCGATGCCCCGGTTCCTGAGCACCAGCTTCAGCTCCTCGTTCTCCTGGATGAGCTGCACGAGCCGCCGCAGCTCTTGGTTCTCCTGTGCCAGCCGCTGGATCTCCTGCTGCAGGCCCTCGTAGCTGCTGAGGAGGGACATGCCTGGCAGCGGTGGGCGGCAGCTGCCGGCAGCTGGCGGGCTGGCCAGGGGCAGCAGACCCTGCCATTGTGAGGTCAGCACTGCCCCTCAGCCGCATTCCAGGGCTTCAGAGCACCTGGAGCAGGGCAAACTTAACCTCTGACCTCTGGCCCCCTGAGGGTTGAATGGCTAGAGGAGCCCAGACCTGCTTCAGGCCTGGAGTCCCCCTAGGAAGCTCCTCCTGGAGGACAGAAGCTTCTGCATCCTAGCCCAGGATGGCGGTGTTGCAGGTAGAGGGCTGCGAGATTCAGGCATCCTTCCCCACCCATCTGGCCACCCACTGGCCACCAGCTGCTCGTGCCATGTTGTGGGGCTGGCTGACTGGGCACAGTCCCAGAGGCGGTCGTGGCCAGCACAGCCTCTGAAGGGGTCGGGAGAGTGGATGTTTGAGCTGCCCTGAGGGAGGGGGCATCTCTGGCCCAACAGCAAGGGGGAGCTGGACTGTGGAGGCGAAGGTGGGTCAGAGCTTGGGGGCGTGGGGTGAGCCAACGGAGCACCTCAGGGCAAGGCTGGAGGCAAAGTGGTCCTGCTGCTGGGGTGGTAGGGAGTGTCACTGTCACAGGGAGGACGAGGCACCACATTCAGGGCCACACCTCAGGGCATGGGCGCGGAGGGCAGGGAGCAGGGAGGCCCCAGGAGACGTTGAGGACAGCAGGTTCCTGGGGGCAGGGGGGCCGCCTCAAGGACAACTGGGTTTACACTTGAGATCATATAAAGGACTTCTTTCCTTCGCCCAGTCTGGTTTCCAATGGGACGGCTCTGTGCAGTTGGCATTATTTTGTGTCATTTCTTCCATCATGATTATTGTTTGTTTCACATCGTCGTTTCCTTTTTGCGGGTCTGCTGTTTCCAGTTGTTAACCAGTAGTTTTCCTGGGATTTGCATGTCATTTCCCCACTGCTCCAGGGTGACACGCTGGCAGGAAGTTCTCGCCAGTGCTGAGCATGGGGGGACAGTCCTGAGAGCAGTTTCCGGGAGACTGGGGAGCAGCCACACTTAATCTCGATGGAAGTGATGTCAATTTTAATGGTTTCTGTAAGTGGGAAATAATCCTCATTCTAAGGGTTATGAAGTAGAGTGTTTATGCAGAACTAGAGATCTTACCCCCAAACGACGACAGGCTCAGGGCAGTCAACTTCCAGCTCAGACGCTCTCTGGAGGCCAGAGGGTAGACTGTGGTAGGCAGAATTCTAAGAAGGCCCCCAAGTTTTCCTGCCCTGGCACACGCGCCCTGCATAATTCCAGTACTGTGAGTAGAATGGCTTTTACACCCATGATTGTGTTATGACACAGCTGAGGTATAAAGGGATATTATCCTGGGCAGACCTGGCTTAATCAGGAGATCCCACATAAGGACGGCTTTCTTCCTGGAGGAAGGATGCAAAGCTCCAGAGAGATTCACGCAAGGGAGATTCTCCACTGCTGGGGGGCCATGAGGCAGGACATGTGGGCAGGCCCTAGAACCTGATATGTCATAGCCAAAATCTTGAAAGACAAAGAGAAAACTTCAAAAGCCACAAGATAAAAATAACTCATCACATGTAAGAGAATACCATAAGATTTACACCTAACTTCTCATCAGAAACAATGGAGGCCAGGAGACAATGGGATGATAAACTCAAATTACTAAAAAGCTCAAGCAAGAATCCAATATTTTGGAAAATGATCTTTTGTAAATTCAGGTGAAATAAAGAAAGTCCAAAATAAACAAAGAGAGAATCTATTGTTAGCGGACCTACCTTACAAGAAATACTAAAGAAAGTTCTTCAAGCTGAAAGGAAGTCACACGAAATAGTCATTCTAGTCCGGTTGCCCAAATGCAGCCATGTTGCACCCAGACTTGTGACCTGCAGAGCTGTGAGTTTACAAGTGGATGTAGTTTTAAGCCACTGCATTTGGGGCAACCTATTCCATAGCAGTGGAAGCTAGCACAGCCTCCTGTGTTGAAGGAAACAGAGGAGCTGATTATACAAGTAGCTGGGTTGCAAAGGAAATGGCATGTGCACTGTCCCGGGGCAGAGTCAGCCTTGAGACCTGGGATGGGAACTTGGAGCGGATACACTTGGATCTTTGGCTGCCAAACTCCCACGAGCCCCTTCCTGGCAGAAGCAGCCCCTCGTTCCTCGCTGGAGGAGCGGGCAGTGGCCTCCCCTGGGGTGCAGAGGGCTGCCGACCACTGCTGCCACTGTAGGTGCACGTGCTGTCTCCCCTCAACAGGTGCGTCCAGTTCTCAGTCCTTGGACTCTGACCTGGCTTTCTGCCTTATTTTGACTGGAAGAACGTGGTGGAAGTGACAGTGTTCCTGTGCCGAGCCGTGACCTTGAGAGGCCTGGCAGGGGCAGGAGTTCCAGGAGTGACCCTGTCACTCTGGAGACTGTCACTCTGGGCGTGCAGCAGTCATTCGTGGAGGTCTACTTCTTGGTAAGAAGAGCGGGACCTGCCCCTCCCCACCCTGCTCTGCATCATGACAGCTGGGCTCCGAGAGGCTGTGGCCAAGAGCACGGGGCGCCCTGGGCTTGGCTCCAGCCGAGGGCAGAGGAAACTGGGAGAGACGAACTGAGAAGACGAGGCCTCCCCCGCAACACCCGCGGGTCAGGGGTATCTCTGGGAGGGGCAGGCTCCCACCCGCCCCAGCTCCCCCAGACCCCAGCCAGCGGTGAGGGAGTGAGACGGAAGGGCGAGTGGCTCCACAGCGTAGCTGAGCAGCTCCTCGGACGCTGAGTGTGGTGTTGGGGAGGATGGTGGAGATCCTAGTGGTGAGAAATTATTAAGGAGCTCAAACAGGACTTTCCTGGCAGTCCAGTGGTTAAGACTCCCTGCTTCCAATGCAGAGGGCATGGGTTCAATCCCTGGTCGGGGAGCTAAGATCCCACATGCTGCACTGAGCAGCCCCCCCCCCAAAAAAAGCTCGAACACGTTACCACAAATCCGAAGGCTTAGAACAACAGACATTTATTCTCTTCCAGTTCTAACGGCCGGAAGTCCAAACGGAGTCATCTGGGCTAAACTCAAGATGTCAGCCAGGACGGTTCCTTCTGGAGGGTCCGGGGGTGGGGGGGGGGAGTTTGTTCCTCGCTGCGGCCAGCAGTCGGCGCTCCCCGGCTTGTGGCTGCATCACTCCAATCTGCCTCCAAGGCCACCTCTCCTCCTCCTCTGCTTCTGCAACCAAATGCCCCTCTGCTCCCACCTTAAAAGGATACTCATGATTACATGTAGGGCCCACCTGGATACTCTAGGACACTCCCTCCTTCTCAAGACCCTTAGCTTAATCATACGTGCAAAGTTCCTTTTGCCACTGAAAGTGACATTCACAGTCTTTGGGAATTAGGACCTGGCTATTCTTCAGCCTGTTACAATGGCTGGACGTGGGGCAGACTTGAAAGTGTTCCTCAACCGCAACCTGATTCATCAGCAAAGGGCAGCACGTCACTGGCTTGGGAGCTGAAGCACAACCTGTGCCCAGTCGGTGGCTGAACCCTAAGCTATGTTGACTCAGACGCAACTTCTGGGCAGCCAGGCTTAACTATAAGAAGGGGGGGGACTTCTCCAGTGGCACAGTGGTTAAGAATCCGCCTGCCAATGCAGGGGACACGGGTTCGAGCCCTGGTCTGGGAAGATCCCACGTGCCGGGGGGCAACTAAGCCCATGTGCCACAACTGCTGAGCCTGCGCTCTAGAGCCTGTGTGCCACAACTACTGAAGCCCGCGCGCCTAGAGCCCGTCCTCTGCAACAAGAGAAGCCACCGTAATGAGAAGCCCACGCAGCGCAACCAAGAGTAGCCCCCGCTCGCCGCAACTAGAGAAAGCCCGCGCGCAGCAATGAAGACCCAACGCAGCCAGAAATAAATAAATAAATATATTTATTAAAAAAAAAAAGGAGGGGGGAGGGGGCCTGAGGAGTGATGTCAGAAGCTGCACACTGTGGAGGAACAGACTTCACAGAACTGCTAAAGACAAGCCACTGGACTAATTAACAGCAACAGCAACAAGCCCAAGGAGGGGCCAGCTAAACGTGACCCAGAGTTACTACAACAGATCACCTAAAACGTCCAGCTTTCAGCAAAACACCCTGAGACGTGCAGAGAAACAGGACAGGGTGATGGCTGCACAGGAGAGGCACGCAGCAGTCACTGCCCTTGAAGGGCCAGGTCTTGGATTCGTAGACAGAGACATCAAAGCTTCGCTTACACAAAGGCCCGTGAGAGGGGTGGCTGTAGTGGCAGGCGGTGGCAGGCCCCTCTGCCACTGCAAATACCCCACCTGGGGCAGCAGAGACCCACAACCTCACTCGCACCCCTTCCACCTGGAGGGGCAGTTATTCTGCCCCAAACCAACCCCTGTTCTGGACACGGCTTTGCCTCCCTGACAGCTCCTCTCCCAGCACCTTCACCCCAGGCTTACCAAGTGCCTTACCTCCCGCTGGATGGGGATGCACACCAAGGACCCATCTGAGAGCCGATGGCCCACGGCAATGAGCTCGTGACCCCGGGACTCGCTGGTCTTCCCAGGTTCCCCACCAGCCTAACGGAATGGAGACCGTCTGTTGAAGGCCCTGCCGTGCTTCCAACTGGCTGTCGACCCCTCCTGGGATGGGACGCTGCTGAGATGCGTCTGTGCTGCCTAAGGGGTCTGGGGTCTGGGGACAGATTCACTGCGAGGTCATGAGGCTCAACTCGGGACTCTTCCAGGCCAGGGCCCCAGCAAAGTGTTCACAGGGTCGCACATTTTGTAAAATTTGCAAAGTACATAATTTAATCACAGTCGGTTAATGCTGTCTCTTCCCACTGCCACCCGCTTTGGGTCATTTCCTCCCCTGCTGCACTGAATGGGGGGGGGCCTCGTGGGCTCCACTCAGGGAGGCTGAGTCGGGAGGGCTTTAGTGTGGTTCTGGGGGGAACATTCACTCCCTGATGTAGTGCAGTTATTGCTGTCATTCTGGTGGAGAAGTGGCCGCCAGGAACACACCCGCCTGTGTGCTGTGTGTCACTACACGTCAAGCTAATGCAATTGGCTGAAGAGTGTCGTCAATTCGAAAACCATCTAAGTTAGTCACAGACAAGAGCCCCCAAAGGCCCTGAAATCTTAGGGCTCATACGTAAAAGAAATTTGATAGAGGTTTTCTCAAATTTAATAATTCTAAAAATGTACACAATATTAGCTAAAGGTGCTGTTACCTGAAAACAACTTTTCTCCTAAGCTGTAAGTTATAAAAATAAACTTTGATGGGACTTCCTTGGTGGTCCAGAGGGTAAGACTCTGCACTCCCAGTGCAGGGGGCCCAGGTTCGATCCCTGGTCGGGGAACTAGATCCCGCATGCATGCTGCAACTAAGAAGTCAGTATGCTGCAACTAAGAAGCCCGCATGCTGCAACTAAAAAGATCCCGTGTGCCACAACGAAGACACGGCGCAGCCAAAATAAATAAATATATTAAATAAACTTTGATTAAGCATGTTAGAGGGGAGACTAAATTATCCTCTCTCCATATACAGAAGGTGACATCATGAAAGTGTCATCATCTTAAGAGGTGACAGATTTTGCATCTGAAAAGCACAGGGGAAACATTAGAAATATGTCAGGAAGTTAATTGATGACATTATGTTTGTTTTCTGTGTGTTGCACGTTGGGATTTCTTTCCTCACTCTGTTCACTTAATTTTGTATATATGATTTTGTTCTGTTTCTTTTTTAAAAAAAAGTTTATTTATTTATTAATAAAATTAGTTGCGGCACACGGGATCTTCATTGTGGCATGTGGGATCTTTAGCTGTGGCATGCGGGATCTAGTTCCCTCACCAGGGATCGAACCTGGGCCCCCTGCATTGGGAGCATGGAGTCTTAACCACTGGACCGCCAGGGAAATCCCTGTCCTCTGTTTCTTAAAGAGGGCCCTGAGGCTGCTCTCCTTCAGACGATGTTTGCAGAGCTGTGGCGTCTGGGAACCTAGGTTTCAGAAGGGTTCCTACCATTCCCCAATAAGAGTGGCTCACTGAACCTAAACTCTTTGTACAAACAAATATGGTTTATGCTAAACTCCTGCTTTCGTCCCAGGACTCTGGGTACATACCAGGCAGGCGTGCCTACATGACCGTGACCAGCTCCCTATGAAAGCTGTAGGCCCTGAGTCTCCAGTGAGCTTCGCTGGTGGCCAGCATTTCACACACATTGTTGCACCTTGTTCCCGGGGGGATGGAGTGTGTCCTGAGCGATTTCTCAAGGAGAAGACTCTGGAAGCTGGGGCCTGGTTTGCTCTTACTTTGCCCCACCAGCCTTTTCCCTTTGCTGATTTTGATTAACATTCTCTCCCTTGAATCGTGGTCATGAGTACAACTGTATGTGCTGAATTCTATGAGTCCTAGTCAATCACTGAATCCAGGGCTGGTCTTGGGGATCCTCAACACAGCTCCCAAATTTGTATTAGCTTTAGGCCCCAAATGTGAATCCACCCATGTGTGTACCCTATGGCTAGAACACAAGGGCCAGAGAACCAAGGGGTTCTCATTCCTGAACAGCCCATACCCTAAACCAGAGATGCTGCCAGGTTGGAGATCTTAGTTCCTGGGGTGGGGGGACACTTCCACAAGGGGACACAGTAAGGTTAGCACTGATCTGGAAGGAAAAGCCACCCCGCAGTCACTCTGGGCTCCTTAGGCCCAGAACCAACATTATCCTAATTATCCTGAGCTGCTAGGGCCAACCATGAAATGAGGGCGGGGCACCCGGGGGGCTTCCACCTGCGGCAATGTACTACAGCAATCTTGACCTAGTAAGAACTGGAAGAGTAAGAGCCCACACTGCTGAGGGAAGAAGGCCTGCTCAGTCCAGCTGAAGAGTCGAGGGTGAGGGGATGGAGGATGGCTAGTGGCAGAGAATGACGGCCATCATTCACGGCCTTCGACCAGGCACAGTGGCAGGGTCTCATGCCCCAGTATTCTAGGAGACCACCGCCTTGGAGGGGACGCTTTGTCTAGGACTTAGGCCCAAGCCCACCACAGTATGTCCATTCCACCTGCTCTTCTCATGGCTTGACATTGAACTGCTTCTATGGCGGTGGGGGGGTGGGTGGGGAGGGCATGTCCCCTCCCCTTGAGCCTGGCAGACCTCTGTGACTGCCTTGACCCAGAATTTGGCGAGAGTGCCACTACGTGACTTCTGAGGCTAGGTCTTAGAACACCATGCAGGATTTCCCTGGTGGCACAGTGGTTAAGAATCCACCTGCCAATGCAGGGGACACATTCAATCCCTGGTCCAGGAAGATCCCACATGCTGCGGAGCAACAGCTACTGAGCCTGTGCTCTAGAGCCCGCGAGCCACAACTACTGAGCCCGCACACCTAGAGTCCGAGCTCCTCAGCAAGAGAAGCCACCGCAATGAGAAGCCCGCGCACCGCAACGAAGAGTAACCACAACTAGAGAACGCCAGCGCGCAGCAACAAAGACCCAACGCAGCCAAATAAATAAATAAATAGATAAATAGACTAAGGCTATAAAACACAGAGTTTATTAGAAGCACAGCACGTGTGGGAGAGTGCACAGAGAAGCAGTTTGTGTAAGAGAGAAGCAAAGCAAAGTTACACACCCAGGGAAGAAGATGTGTGGGTGTCCTCCCTAATGAGCACACCTAAGAGGCAGTTAAATCATTTCTATAGGGGCAGTTTTTCCAGGTCTTTCTTTTCCTCTGGCCAACCATCTTGCTTCATTTCCCACAACTGACTGGACCAGGGCCCTCCCCGACATATGCATGCATCTTTTAGCCAAGATGGATTCCAGCATGAGGGTCTTTAGGAGATTGACAGCACCTATTATGGGATAGTGACCCCTCCCTTTTTGACCCCTGAAGAGTCTTTCTGTGCACGGGCAGTTGGGGAGGTCTCCTTGACCTCAAGAATGATAGATGTGGTCATCTTATCTCTTTACTCCAGCCGAGCTCAACTCCTCTCTGCTCCTGCCATTAACTTTTTCCTTGAAAATGTCAGGGGAAGACAAACTCCAATTTACTCAGCTTGACAAATTCCAGCTGCTCAGCCCAGGGGCCCATCTACCTCCTACCTCAATA